TCGTTGTACCTCATTGGGGAGGGGGCCCGCAGCTCAGAGGCCGCACTAAAGGCCACCAGGGACCGCCAGTGACCCGCTCGGGGCCTTGCGATGAGGAACACAGCGAGAGAGAGAGAACCTCTACAGATGGAACTTTTGGATTCCTCCCGTGGTAGGGATGGATGCTGGCGGCTCGAGACTTCGTGGAAGGGTTGGGAGAGCCGCACACTTTGCCCCGCCGCACGCGCCAACTCCCCGGTCGACTTTGCTGCGGTGCAGCCACGGATGGGTGGACATCGTTGATTCAAGTGCCGCGCCGGGACATCGAAACGGCGACTCTCCCCTCCTTGGCAAGTCCAGGGTGCTGAACCACTCCGCCACGGAGGCAGCGGCATCTCACGATTTAGGCCAGTGGGCATACACCGCACAAAGACAAAGATCCCCCGTATAGCCTGCACAGACTGTTGGGGCAAGTGCTGTTAGCGAGCACCTATGAAGGCCGGAACGGCACACGAGGGGGGTGGGTGGCCAGGACCACGCCCGGCCGCCTTTGTGTCCCTAGTGGCGATGTTTACACATCGTGCCAGGTACTCATTTGAGGCTGAGTCGACCTAGGGGAGGCCCAGGACCGGTTCAGATCATCGTCACCGGTGTTTGGCCGTGAGCGGGAATCGAACTCGGGTCGCCGGGTTCGTAGCGCAGCGTAGCGCTAACCGCTGCACCACCGCTCCCCACGAACACACACACGTGCATGCAGTACAGTACAACACACGCGTACACAATACGTGTACACAGCCAATGAAACAGGAGCCTCTTGTAAAGGAGTCCAGAGACTCTGAGGTTTCCCTGGGTAAAAAAAATTGCTTAAAAGCTCATGGGATTCCCCCAGTATTGACAAAGATTCTGATTACATTATGACTCGAATAGATACACGGGCATATTGACTACACGTGGTGCATACATAATCAACTACATATAGTTAAAGGATCGTGACTGAGTTACTAATGTGAATTCCCATGGTTTTCAAAGAAGGGCTGGAGAATTAAAATGTGCTATACAAACTGGAGTTAAGTCTGTGTGTGTGTGTAATGAGAAACATTTGTAAACGATTCTAATATGAATATCTATAAACGATTTAATACAGGGTGCTTAAAAAAAAGTTTTTACACTTATATGGGACGGACAATACACTGTAACATCGTAACAAATCTAGAATTGAAGCTTTCGTGACTGCAGGAATTACTATAATCATGGGTTCTTTCGGTAAAGTTACGTATGTAGAAATAAAATAACATTTAAATAAATCACAAATAAAAGAAAAAAAAGTATTTTAAAATATAATAAATAAATAATCTTTATTTTATTTGTGATTTACAAATAAAAGAAAATTACAATTTTATTTTAAATTAAATTACAATTTTTATTTTATTTTATTTGTGATTTATAAAAAAATTATTTTATTTTATTTCTACATAATTTTAATAATTTTAAATAAATCACAAATAAAAGAAAATTTTAATTATATTTTAAAATAAAATGTTAATTTCATTTTATTTGTGATTTATTAAAATTATATTTTATTTCTACAAACGTGACTTCACCGAAAGAACCAATGGAGTATCATAACAAATGTGATGTTATTAGCTTCAAAAAGTCAAAGAGTCTCCCCTTGTTCGCCATCATCGTCAACGCGCGCCTGGAATCTTCTCCAGGCGGTCTGCGGAGCCAAGAGGCGGCGCATTTCTCGTGGTTGTTGTTGCAAATTCCCAGAAGTGTTACAACATTACAATATATTGTTTTTAAGCACCCCCTGTGTACTTTTCAAGCCGCCGCACAAGCGTCGAGAGGGAGACTCGAGAGGGAGAGGACGCGGAACCGCAGAGGAGAATCGGGAAGACGGCAACGGCAGCCGCCTCGGGGTGGTGGTGGTGGTGACAATTTGCCCAAGTTCTGCGGTCCTCTAAATATATACACACACGTGAAAGGTGGCGTCGACAGTTGCTTACGGTGCCGGATTACCCTCGTAGCAAGAGTAGATACTTCAGCTACTATACATGTAGTAGCTACGGCCCCGCATATGTAGGAGCTACTACTACTACATGTGTAGTAGTAGCTACTACAGTAGTAGTAGCTACTAATACACATGTAATGGCTACTACATATGTAGTTGCTACTACATATGTTGCTACTACATATGTAGCTACGGGCCCCGCACTTTCAAAGGCCCCGCGCTAAATGCTTTCAAGCTATCAATTCCGGTTCAGCGATTCTGCACTTGCTCGATTACTATAGTACTACACCGCCTTCAACTTTTACGAACGACTGCGTGTTTAAGCTTAGCGATTTGTCGTATTATCTCGCTGTATTGCAAATGAAAAAATACAATTACTTTACTGTGCAAGTTAAACATTTGTGTTTTAATATTTACGTGTTTGTTTTAGGGCCCCGTGATAACAACAGCATATGCGACAGGCCCCGTACGAGCTGAATGCGGCACTGGTTGTTCTACCGCTGAGGCACGTGGCCGCGAAGCGTCGTGCCAAACAAAGACGAAGATTCCCCTCCCCCAGTATAGCCTTAACAGACTGTTGGGGCAAGTGCTGTTCGCCCCAGTGGTTCATTTAACCACACCGCACCAGGTACTCATTTGAGGCTGAGTCGACCTAGGGGCGGCCCAGCACCGGTTCAGATAATCGTCACCGGTGTTTGACCGTGAGCGTGAATCGAACTGGCCGCGACACTGTTACAAGCACACCCGACACACACACACACAAGACACGGATAAACCCACGTGGGTAATGAGTGTGAAAGTGCTGTTAGAGACCACCTCTGTACCGTACACCGATACACACGCAAACACATACCTGGAAACCCACACGGTTCACCCCGTATTCTTGTGCAGGGAAATTGATCTTTCAAGTCCATACGGCGTACAGCCGTTTCGATACGGGCACGCGAACAAAACATTGTGCATTTGTTTGTGTTTCTCCCATGTGATGGGACTTTGTAGGGCGAACGTTGATATCTATAAGGGGCACGGGGTGACCAACATTGTCTGAATGGGTCTGTAATCACGTAGGCAGCACTGATAAGGCATACACACCGGCACAAGGACAGTCGCAGACACACACACACACACTGATACACATTGATACAAAACACCTACACACACAAAATACCCTGAAAAACACCACGATACGTAACACTGACAAATACATCAACAAAGACACACAGCAAACATGCTGACACACACGTGGACAACACAGACACACACACACTGATACACATTGATACAAAACACCTATTCACACAAATACCCTGATATACACCACGATACGTAACGCTGACAAATACATCAACAAAGACACAGCAAACACGCTGACACACACGTGGACAACACAGACACGAACACTTATATCGATACACACTGATGCACAAACACCGACAGACACACAGACAATGATCCCCCGTATAGCCTTAACAGACTGTAGGGGCAAGTGCTGTTAGCGAGCACACAGACACACACCGACAGACACACCGACAGACACACCAACAGACACACACAGACACACACACAGACAGACACACACAGACACACACCGACAGACACACACAGACACACACACAGACACACACACCGACATGGCTAAGACTTACACCGTCACACGTACAAAGATCCCCCGTATAGCCTGAGCAGACTGTTGGGGCAAGTGCTGTTAGTGGCGGACTATGAAGGCCGGCACGGCACACGAGGGGGTGGCCAACACCACGCCCGGCCGCCTTTGTCTCCCCCAGTGGCGATGGTTACACACCGTATCAGCTACTCATTTGCGACTGAGTCGACTTAGGAGAGACCCAGGACCGGTTCTAAATAATCGTCACCGGTGTTGGGTCGTTCTCAGCGTAGCGCGCTGATCGCTACGCCACCGCTCCCCACACACAGCCAAAATAATACACACACCGACACACACACACACCGACACACACACACACCGACACACACACACACCGACACATACACACACCGACACACACACACACCGACACACACACCGACACACACACACCGACACACACACACACCGACACACACACACACCGACACAATGACACTGATACACACATACCAATATTGACACAAAGACAGATACACACACGCAGTGACACACGAAAATATACTAACACGCTGGCAAACGCAGTACCCACACTGACACAAAGACGCACACAGTGACACACACAGACACAATTACACTGACACACACTGATAAACACAGTACCAACATTGACACAAAGCCACACACACTGACACACACAGACACACACTGACACACACACTGACACACACAGCATCCACACTGACACAAAGCCACACACACACTGACACACACAGACACACACTGACACACACACTGATAAACACAGCATCCACATTGACACAAAGCCACACACACACTGACACTGATAAACACAGCATCCACATTGACACAAAGCCACACACACTGACACACACAGACACACACTGACACACACTGGTAAACACAGTACCAACATTGACACAAAGCCACACACACTGACACACACAGACACACACTGACACACACACTGATAAACACAGTACCCACATTGACACAAAGCCACACACACACTGACACACGCAGACACAATGACACTGACACACACACTGATAAACACAGTACCCACACTGACACAAAAAGACAGCCACACACACAGTGACACACACACAGTGACACACACACAGTGACACACAGTGACACACACAGTGACACACACAGAGTGACACACACAGTGACACACACGCAGTGAGACACACACACAGTGACACACACACACAGTGACACACAGTGACACACACAGTGACACACACACAGTGACACACACACAGAGTGACACACACACAGTGAGACACACACAGTGACACACACACAGAGAGACATCACCATCAGCTGAGCGACTGTGCCTGGGGATGGACGCAACGAGTGAGGATACACCACACTGCTTACCTTCATCACGCAGCCGGAATCTCTCTGCTGATGCTGATGATGCTGCTGCTGATGATGCTGCTGCTGATGATGATGACGCTGATGATGATGACGCTGCTGATGCTGCTGATGATGACGCTGACGTGCGATGAGAACCAGGAAGATGATGGTCGTGATGGCGAGGAGGATGAGAATGGGATGTGATGGGGGCAGGGAGGAGTGGAGTGAGGGGGGGGTCCGAGGAGGAGATGGGGGTGGGGGGAGGGGTGGGGGTGGTGGGGGGGCACGGCCGTGACGTCACCGGCGAGGCTGCAGCGACTGCCCGACGAGGTGACGTCACCGGAGGGCTCGCTCAAGCGCACACAGTGTCAGTGTGTGTAGTGGTGTGTCAGTGTGTGTAGCGGTGTGTCAGTGTGTGTGTAGTGGTGTGTCAGTGTGTGTAGTGGTGGTGTGTCAGTGTGTAGTGGTGGTGTGTCAGTGTGTGTAGTGGTGTGTCAGTGTGTGTAGTGGTGTGTCAGTGTGTGTAGTGGTGTGTCAGTGTGTGTAGTGGTGTGTCAGTGTGTGTAGCGGTGTGTCAGTGTGTGTGTAGTGGTGTGTCAGTGTGTGTAGTGGTGGTGTGTCAGTGTGTAGTGGTGGTGTGTCAGTGTGTGTAGTGGTGTGTCAGTGTGTGTAGTGGTGTGTCAGTGTGTGTAGTGGTGTGTCAGTGTGTGTAGTGGTGTGTCAGTGTGTGTAGCGGTGTGTCAGTGTGTGTAGTGGTGTGTCAGTGTGTGTAGTGGTGTGTCAGTGTGTGTAGTGGTGGTGTGTCAGTGTGTGTAGTGGTGTGTCAGTGTGTGTAGTGGTGTGTCAGTGTGTGTAGTGGTGTGTCAGTGTGTGTAGTGGTGGTGTGTCAGTGTGTGTAGTGGTGTGTCAGTGTGTGTAGTAGTGTGTCAGTGTGTGTAGTGGTGTGTCAGTGTGTGTAGTGGTGTGTCAGTGTGTGTGTAGCAGTATGTCAGTGTGTGTAGTGGTGTCAGTGTGTGTAGTGGTGTGTCAGTGTATGTAGTGGTGTGTCAGTGTGTGTAGTGGTGTGTCTGTGTAGTGGTATGTCAGTGTGTGTAGTGGTGTGTCAGTGTGTGTAGTGGTGTGTCAGTGTGTGTAGTGGTGTGTCAGTGTGTGTAGTGGTGTGTCAGTGTGTGTAGTGGTGTGTCAGTGTGTGTAGTGGTGTGTCAGTGTGTGTAGTGGTTTGTCAGTGTGTGTAGTGGTGTGTCAGTGTGTGTGTAGCAGTGTGTCAGTGTGTGTAGTGGTGTCAGTGTGTGTAGTGGTGTGTCAGTGTATGTAGTGGTGGTGTGTCAGTGTGTGTAGTGGTGTGTCAGTGTGTGTAGTGGTGGTGTGTCAGTGTGTGTAGTGGTGTGTCAGTGTGTGTAGTGGTGTGTCAGTGTGTGTAGTGGTGTGTCAGTGTGTGTAGTGGTGTCAGTGTGTGTAGTGGTGTGTCAGTGTGTGTAGTGGTGTGTCAGTGTGTGTAGTGGTGTGTCAGTGTGTGTAGTGGTGGTGTGTCAGTGTGTGTAGTGGTGTGTCAGTGTGTGTAGTGGTGTGTCAGTGTGTGTAGTGGTGTGTCAGTGTGTGTAGTGTGGTGTGTCAGTGTGTGTAGTGGTGTGTCAGTGTGTGTAGTGGTGGTGTGTCAGTGTGTGTAGTGGTGTGTCAGTGTGTGTAGTGGTGTGTCAGTGTGTGTTGGTGTGTCAGTGTGTGTAGTGGTGTGTCAGTGTGTGTAGTGGTGTGTCAGTGTGGTGTAGTGGTGGTGTGTCAGTGTGTGTAGTGGTGTGTCAGTGTGTGTAGTGCTGTGTCAGTGTGTGTAGTGGTGTGTCAGTGTGTGTAGTGGTGTGTCAGTGTGTGTAGTGGTGGTGTGTCAGTGTGTGTAGTGGTGTGTGTAGTGGTGTCAGTGTGTATAGTGGTGTGTCAGTGTGTGTAGTGGTGGTGTGTCAGTGTGTGTAGTGGTGTGTGTAGTGGTGTCAGTGTGTGTAGTGGTGTGTCAGTGTGTGTAGTGGTGTGTCAGTGTGTGTAGTGGTGTCAGTGTGTGTAGTGGTGTGTCAGTGTGTGTAGTGGTGTGTCAGTGTGTGTAGTGGTGTGTCAGTGTGTGTAGTGGTGTGTCAGTGTGTTTAGTGGTGTGTCAGTGTGTGTAGTGGTGTGTCAGTGTGTGTAGTGGTGGTGTGTCAGTGTGTGTAGTGGTGTGTCAGTGTGTGTAGTGGTGCGTTAGTGTGTGTAGTGGTGCGTCAGTGTGTGTAGTGGTGCGTCAGTGTGTGTAGTGGTGTGTCAGTGTGTGTAGTGGTGTGTCAGTGTGTGTGTAGCAGTGTGTCAGTGTGTGTAGTGGTGTCAGTGTGTGTAGTGGTGTGTCAGTGTATGTAGTGGTGGTGTGTCAGTGTGTGTAGTGGTGTGTCAGTGTGTGTAGTGGTGGTGTGTCAGTGTGTGTAGTGGTGTGTCAGTGTGTGTAGTGGTGTGTCAGTGTGTGTAGTGGTGTGTCAGTGTGTGTAGTGGTGTCAGTGTGTGTAGTGGTGTGTCAGTGTGTGTAGTGGTGTGTCAGTGTGTGTAGTGGTGTGTCAGTGTGTGTAGTGGTGGTGTGTCAGTGTGTGTAGTGGTGTGTCAGTGTGTGTAGTGGTGTGTCAGTGTGTGTAGTGGTGTGTCAGTGTGTGTAGTGGTGGTGTGTCAGTGTGTGTAGTGGTGTGTCAGTGTGTGTAGTGGTTGTGTCAGTGTGTGTAGTGGTGTGTCAGTGTGTGTAGTGGGTGTCAGTGTGTGTAGTGGTGTGTCAGTGTGTGTAGTGGTGTGTCAGTGTGTGTAGTGGTGTGTCAGTGTGTGTAGTGGTGTGTCAGTGTGTGTAGTGGTGTGTCAGTGTGTGTGTAGTGGTGGTGTGTCAGTGTGTGTAGTGGTGTGTCAGTGTGTGTAGTGCTGTGTCAGTGTGTGTAGTGGTGTGTCAGTGTGTGTAGTGGTGTGTCAGTGTGTGTAGTGGTGGTGTGTCAGTGTGTGTAGTGGTGTGTGTAGTGGTGTCAGTGTGTATAGTGGTGTGTCAGTGTGTGTAGTGGTGGTGTGTCAGTGTGTGTAGTGGTGTGTGTAGTGGTGTCAGTGTGTGTAGTGGTGTGTCAGTGTGTGTAGTGGTGTGTCAGTGTGTGTAGTGGTGTCAGTGTGTGTAGTGGTGTGTCAGTGTGTGTAGTGGTGTGTCAGTGTGTGTAGTGGTGTGTCAGTGTGTGTAGTGGTGTGTCAGTGTGTTTAGTGGTGTGTCAGTGTGTGTAGTGGTGTGTCAGTGTGTGTAGTGGTGGTGTGTCAGTGTGTGTAGTGGTGTGTCAGTGTGTGTAGTGGTGCGTTAGTGTGTGTAGTGGTGCGTCAGTGTGTGTAGTGGTGCGTCAGTGTGTGTAGTGGTGTGTCAGTGTGTGTAGTGGTGTGTCAGTGTGTGTAGTGGTGGTGTGTCAGTGTGTGTAGTGGTGTGTCAGTGTGTGTAGTGGTGTGTCAGTGTGTGTAGTGGTGTCAGTGTGTGTAGTGGTGTCATTGTGTGTAGTGGTGGTGTGTCAGTGTGTGTAGTGGTGTGTCAGTGTGTGTAGTGGTGGTGTGTCAGTGTGTGTAGTGGTGTGTCAGTGTGTGTAGTGGTGTGTCAGTGTGTGTAGTGGTGTGTGTAGTGGTGTCAGTGTGTGTAGTGGTGTGTCAGTGTGTGTAGTGGTGTGTCAGTGTGTGTAGTGGTGTGTGTAGTGGTGTCAGTGTGTGTAGTGGTGTGTCAGTGTGTGTAGTGTGTGTGTCAGTGTGTGTAGTGGGGTGTCAGTGTGTGTAGTGGTGTGTCAGTGTGCGTAGTGGTGTGTCAGTGTGTGTAGTGGTGTGTCAGTGTGTGTAGTGGTGTCATTGTGTGTAGTGGTGGTGTGTCAGTGTGTGTAGTGGTGTGTCAGTGTGTGTAGTGGTGGTGTGTCAGTGTGTGTAGTGGTGTGTCAGTGTGTGTAGTGGTGTGTCAGTGTGTGTAGTGGTGTCAGTGTGTGTAGTGGTGTGTCAGTGTGTGTAGTGGTGTCAGTGTGTGTAGTGGTGTGTCAGTGTGTGTAGTGGTGTGTCAGTGTGTGTAGTGGTGTCTCAGTGTGTGTAGTGGTGTGTCAGTGTGTGTAGTGGTGTGTCAGTGTGTGTAGTGGTGTGTCAGTGTGTGTAGTGGTGTGTCAGTGTGTGTAGTGGTGTGTCAGTGTGTGTAGTGGTGTGTAAGTGTGTGTGTAGTGGTGTGTCAGTGTGTGTAGTGGTGTGTCAGTGTGAAGTGGTATCAGTGTGTGTAGTGGTGTCAGTGTGTGTAGTGGTGGTGTCAGTGTGTGTAGTGGTGTCAGTGTGTGTAGTGGTGGTGTCAGTGTGTAGTGGTGGTGTCAGTGTGTGTAGTGGTGGTGTCAGTGTGTATAGTGGTGTCAGTTTGTGTAGTGGTGGTGTCAGTGTGTGTAGTGGTGGTGTCAGTGTGTGTAGTGGTGGTGTCAGTGTGTGTAGTGGTGGTGTCAGTGTGTGTAGTGGTGTGTCAGTGTGTGTAGTGGATCCCCTGCACATCTCGTCATTTGTGTCTCCTTTCATGTCTTGTGCCAATATGATCAAGGACTTCACATTTTCCCGGCACACATCTCGTAGGTCGTGGTCTTCGAGCCGTTCTCGGATAGGTCTTCCTCTATTTCCGGTTCCTTCCATGTATGCCGAACAACAACAACACACTTTTAATTTCCCTGTTGTCGCCCATCCTACACGTGTGTCCAAATAGTGCCAGTTTACTTCTCATCACTGCCTGCATCGGGTCTTCTTCTTTATTTTGATGATATTCGAAAACGTATGGTTAAAGTCAAATCAAGATTAAGCCATGTTTGTTTTGTTGAAGTACGGAGTTAGCCTGCTAATTTAATCTAAATTGTCTTATGGTTGTTATTGTTCGACTTGCATCCCATTGGGATTTTTGCACACAGCCTTGATGTACGGTGCTTTTTTTCTGGAAGATTTTACTAGTTTTTCCTGGATGTTTCTGTTGCGAAACGTCACTTTAAGATGTTCTTTGTTCATGATTTGTTTGTTGCGGTTGCACCCGAGTTAAGAGCCTCACATCTCACAAGGCAATACCTAATAAATGAAAAATTAAAACGTGCAAACTGTTTTCTTCTACGTTGGTCACTAGTTGGGTCCACCTTAGACGCAGCATCATGCTGTAGCAATACGTTTCGACGATTACTTTTAAGGTATACTCATATTCCGACAGCAAGCTCACTCCCACTCCTGACTATTAATTACGCATCGTGTCTCCACGCAATATACATTGTGTTCAACACATTCCTGCGGAGGGAGCTGGCAGGAACGTTGGGTTGCTCGGTCAATGGCCAGGGTCAACGGCGGCGTGGTGTATTCCGCAAATATGCCCGACTGTGAGGGCGGGCACAAGCCGGCGTGAGTAGGTTAAACGTTGAGTTTTATAAGGGCACCACGGGGTGACCAGCCCCTATACACCCACCCCCACCCCTCCCACCCCCCACCCAGCCCCTCCCCACCCTCCCCTCCCAGCCCCACCCCTCCCACCCCCACCCTCCCCTCTCCACCCAGCCCCACCCCTCCCATTTTTGGATCCACGACGGAGGGACGGACACAATAATCCCGTGGGCTGGTGGAACCAGGTGGTTTCTACCAGTATAACCCACGTAGTACACGTACTTGAGTGGCGATTACATGGAAATCAATGTTACGTGAATACTCGTCTTTTGAGTCCGAACCACATCCTGTACTTGGCTAATACGGACGACTCCGTGTGTCCAAAGCTCAAGCGAAGTGTCAATGTTGCTGCCTGCGATAAAAAAAAATCACTCGAAAATGCGTCCCCAGTCTCCGCGTTGGGCGAGATGGCACCGCGCAACGAGCAGGGTGCCCATTCGGCCGCTCGTTGCAATGGAATCACGGGTTGGGATTTCGGCGGCCGCCCCGATTAATACTGTGGTTGGTGTATGAAGCGTAACAAAACAAATATAAATGCGTAATTCGCAAGAGTAATAAGGCAATGTGTGCCGGCTTCAAGGATCAAATTGGGCAAGTTTGAAGAATAAAAATCCGCAAATTACGCAATTTGGATTACACACCGCTCCCTACACACACACATATACGAAAAACCCGACAAAAAAAAGAGTGATGAGACTCAGAGGCTTTCCCGTGTAAAGAAGCATAATGATGATACTATCTCGGGACCCGAGCCTGAATATCGCACTTGAATCATCGACCACCAAGCGCAATAAAACAACAGAGGGCAGTGCAGTATCATTGCTGTACTGTACTTCTATGCTCCGACGACTACGATTCCACTGAAGTTATTTGCCGGAAGAACATCCAACGATCTGCACGACGTGGGGATTTCCTCCTACAGCAGTGGACATTCCTTTCTTAAGTCCTAACCAATGTGGAACTCTCCATGTTGCTATGCAAAGCGTCAGGAATGATGGACACGTGGATCGCGTGTGTACATCGGTACCAATGCACACACAATGCGAGTGCCACTACTGCGAGTTCTGGTAGTAGTTAGGACTCGCAACCCTGTGGGAAACCACGATGGTTGCCCTGCACAGTTACACTCAAGGGCATGGGGGGACGCGTAAGATTAAAGTAATTTAATTTAATAAAGCCCCCGTAAGGTCTTGCTAATGCTAACGCCAGCGCCTTTGATAAGCCAGATGAACTTACCGCCGGCTTTCCATTAAGCAGCAGGTGTAATTCAACGTCATCGTCGTCTGCCATGGTCAATCCACTGCTGGATGAAGGCCTCCCCAGGGAGCGTCAACATCCCTCACGGTCCCACAATGCAACAATTCCACCAAGGCCCCGTACAAGATGTTTTTGGGAGTGGGTGTGTACATTGTCGTCTGTACTACAAATGTCTCCAACGACTTCAGCCATCGGTCATTCCACTGCTGGATGAAGGTCTTCCGATGCCGTGTGGGGGGGGGGGATGGTGGTTTCAAGTTTGTTTAAAACCATGTGGGAACTCGAGAAGAACCAGGATAATTATTTAATTTGCGACAGAACTGTTTATTTGACCATACTTCACCACGCCGGTCAGTGCGGGTTGGCAAAGACGGGGGGGGGGGGGGACATCGCCGTGAGAGCATAGAAGTACAGCGCAACTTAAACGTTTTACCGCACTGCCCTCTGCTGCCCACCACGCACTCGTTCCAATAAACAAGGAATAAACCCCGTTGCAGAGGCAAGGTTTGTCATGTTAACAAAAGCACGGGAAAGCTTTTGAGCAATTTGGCCGAATCCGGTAGCTCGAGATTGAGTCCCAGCCACGGCAAACATCAGCGGCGAGGGATATCGGAATAGGTTCAGGGTCCCCCCATCCACCTCTACGAACACCACAGGATGGTCAAAACCAACCCCCCCTCCCTCCCATGATCGGCACGGCGCGGGTAGGCTTACCTTCAGCAGTGGAATGACAAACATGGGCCGTCGTGCATTGCAACTGTTATTTATAAAATGCAGGTAAAAAAATGTAATGAACACAGCCTGAAAAGAGAAAAACGTATAGCACTGACGTTTCAGGCAATGACCCTCCAAAGCAGACTATAGTTCATTTAATGCATAGCTGGATTATGTAAATAAGCTTACATTTAAATGTTAAATATACTTTAAACGACAATCACCATCAATGGTCACAATCTATCCACTGCTAGATGAAGACCTCCCAAAGCCATCGTCATTAAAATTCAAATAAATAATAAATGCTATGGTGTTTTTCATCGCTTGATTGTATTATTTTATTGGCAAGAATTCCCCAAAACAGCAAAGATTCATTATGAAATTCACAAAGTATTCGTTTTTTTGTGTGTGTGTGTGACAGAGGGACGCAAATGATAATAGTACCAACTGAAATCGCTCTACTGGTATACACTCACAATGGGGGAGTCGGGGTATAGTTGCCACCTTATCCACAGCGCAAACCCGGATACACTTCTCAAATTAGCAGAGGTCGATTTAGAACTGGGATGTACACACTGCAAACCCTGGCATCAGGGTTGCCAGGGCTTAAGTCCTGGCAGCCGAACACAATGCTAATTTTCTCGGACTGTCCGTGGTTAAACCCGCAGAGGTGGCAACCTTATGTTGGGGTGCAACTGCTTCCACCTTTTCCACCGTGTCTCGTCAAAGATGTCACAATACACCTCCCGTAAAGTGTGTGGAGGATGTGGGGGGGGGGTCAGGTAGCGGTTGGGATGGGAGAGATTCGAACCAGTGGTGAAATCATTGATATTCCCGCCCCTTAGTTTGTGATGTAAATCTGTGCACACGAACTCGGTGGGTAAGACATCTGACTTGCGGAATTCTACGCAGCTTGAGCCGCAGGACCTCGCAATCAGCCATCTCCGCTATAAAGTGTAGCCGCTGATCAAATCAATCCGGAATGCGCCCCAGCCTCCTCAAGTCTTGGTAGATAAGCTACGTGGCCGGTGGTGGTACTAACTCATGGGGTAAGGGAAGGGGGTTGTTTCTGCAATATTTTTTTGGTACGTTACACGACCATATACTTTTGCTACACAACTGCAATCACATTACAGTTGTGTTAAATAATGAAGGTAAGAGACTAAATTATAGTGTTCTTAGAATGCAATAATTTTTTTTATAAGGAGCTGAATTCTAGATAACAGTTGATGCACCATTATTTTTACATGAACTAGTGCCCCTTGAGCTACTTGGGGCCCTAAACGTTTGCTTAGTTGCTTGTGCCTAGCCCCACCACTGTGCATAGTACTTGGATGGGCGCCCCACCATGCACCCCAGTTCGTCATAGGTAGCTGCGGAGCTGTGTGTTGGTCAGCAGGAGGCAGTGCAGCAGAAAATCCATCCGTTGTACCGTACTTATACGCTCCCACGTCTATACACTATATGTTCCACGTCCGCCTTCACCAATCCGCACTGACCAGCGTGGAGAATTATGGTCAAAGAACGAGCCGCACGGTATGGGCACGTTAACCCTCATCCAGCAGTGGATTGACAAAAAAAATGTTGTACATGTGCGCATGGTAGGTACCAAATCTAGACTTAAAACTAATTTCATTAAAACTGCTTTGTGTTTGGTTTGTTGTCCTTCCCCCGCAACTCCGATTAGCACGGTTGGCTACGTATGGTGCGAAAGAAGTTCAACATACATACAAGTGCGACCACCGCATTCATTACTTAAAGTGGACTATGACAGAACTCAGGATCACCGTGGTGGTGGTGAAGCCGTACGTACACCGCCATCGCCTTTAATCCGGCTCCCTGGTGAGTGGTGTTGGTGGCCCCTGCAGACACTACATGTGCAAGACTCCGGATCTGATGGGCATAGGCCCTGGTGGAAGGAATTCAATGGGGGGCAACCAGTCTAATTCCCCACGTGGCTCTCCCCCCATTCCCCCCTGTGTACCCACCCTGCCACCTGGGCACCATTGGGCCCTGCAGCAATTGCACCGCCTGCACACCAAGTAGCCACGCCACTGCTGATAGGCCAAGAGAGGGCCAGTCATTGAAGTACAGGAAGTGGGACTGCTGCCTCGATTTGATTCCAAAATAAACAGTGTCAATGTGGCACATCTCGTGGCTGCAAGGGCTTTAAAACCCTATCGCATTAAATAGATACAAATAAAAAACAAATTCTTGCACATTTGATCAATTCGTGCATAGTGATCGTAAGAATCGAATCATTGCATGCCCACCGCTGGCCAGTGTAAATGGAATTTTTAGTGTTGTGCCCTTGTAAGTGTACGTTTTCTCTGGTGACTCCAGTTTATTTTCCAATTATTTGCCATCCGTGCAACAAATAACATGAACTAAATTCTGAGTACTCATTAAAGAAATGGCCAAACATCTTAATGCAGCTGGATCCTCCCCCTCCAAACGTACTGAGGCTAAGTAATGCTCAGTAATGCTTCCTTGGATGAAGGGTATTGTTAAACTGTTGCTAGTCTTGTCATTTATATTATTGAGCAGTGGGCTTTACCCATTTCCTATCAGATTTAGTCACACTCCATGGGAGGGAATTACTCGGTTCACTGATGATGGTAAGTGCTTATCTGGAGACAACTTTGAACTCTCGGTGAACGTTGCTCTACAGGTGAAAATAATCGAACCACCGGTCCCTTAAAATTTTCGGAGGGGGCCCAAATGAAAAAAACAATTCCCGATTCGCCAAGTCAAAAGCATCGACTCAACTATATTAAGTGCAAAATCTATTTCTTTCGGTCCCTTCTGGAAAATAATTATAATTTACAAGTCATTCAGTCCTGATCGTGTTAGATAACGTAGACCCCTTTTCCACTGGCACATCTGAGCAGAGCCAAGCCAACAGGGGGCCAACTTGGTAACAGGTGATTTTCCACCATTCTTTTGCTGTGCCGAACCAGAAACCAAACCGTAATACTCTGGGGGCCTCACAAAACATGCGAATCAGGGGTGCCAAACAGGGCCAGGGTCTCGAACATTAATAACACATTCGTTGCGTGTTTGACGTCCGACAGTACACTGGCGAGGGGGAAATTGAACGACATGGCATCGCCGTGCAGTGGAAGCGAGGTACGAGACAGCGTGGCGCTATTCTCCTAACACTGAAAGATCGTGGGATGGAGGTGCGGGGCGTTGACGAGGTGTCCACAGATGTACCACTGGGGTTTTTTTTGTTTTTTTTTTACTAAAACGGACGCATCGCCGCCCATAAACAAATACAACTGCGGTCTCGGTCTTTTTTAGACTATAAAAAGATGCACATGAAATATATAATTGCATAATTTAGCTATCGTCTTAACAACGCTTCATACAAAAAGAGAAAAGGTTGCCGCACCTTGCTTATGAACACTAGCTTATGGCCCTGGTAACACTGTTACTGCGATGGCGCGAGGTACAACCTTAATAACGGGTACACATGAGCTGCTAACCAAAGCACAGGCAAAGCGCCGGTCTGCTGAATGTATTGTGACATCATCCCAAAGCGTACACACGCAGATTTGTTAAAAAATGCAAATATGACCCATCTGCCACCCTCACCTCCCCATTGCAGCTCCTAGCACCAAAATGCAAATTGGCATTTTTATTGTCTCAAAAAAGTCGACCTCTCTCCTCACATCGTTTCACTCCAAAATATTACAACGGTAGCAATTTTTTTTTTAAATGTAAAGTGGAATGGCTATTACACGCTAGAAACTAAACCTAGGGTAACATTTATTTATGTACATATTAGCAAACTAATAAGCCATCGTATGCAGTATTAACAGTTTCTTTTTATAAAGAAAATAACGTGTCTGGGCGTCAGAAAAAAAACCCAAAGCCCGTGACGAAAGTTGTAATTCTTCTCACATATGTAAGCAATGATAAGCAAATTTAGTAAAAAAAAAACGAGTTTACAACTCTTTTTGCAAAAAAAACTTGATTGAAAAATTTTCTTCACTTTTCGCTTTAGCAAAAAAGTCAGGGAATGGAATGGGAGAGATTTGGGGGTAAAGATAGGGCGTTGGGGTGGGGGGGGACAGCTAGGGGTGGGGGAGAGGTGGGGGCGGGAGTGATGCGAAAACAAAAATATCGGAGTCGACTCCAACCACCACATTAGCTCATGCAAAACACGACAAAGATCCGAGCCTACGAGGGTTCAAATTGCGAGGAGAGTCGATTGGGGGGGGGGGGGGGGGGGGGGTAGGGGATTACCTCTCGCCAAGTGGACAAACGTCACGCTGACGGTCAAAAAGAACCCAGCGCGCGCTACGTGCAGGGCTTAATTTCTCACTCAATAATTTCCGGGTCATCGACATAGGGAACTACAGGTCAAGGTGCAGCCCTACAATTATAACTTGCTCACGCCAATGTTGGTGGACGGGCCTCCACTAGACGGAGCTCTAAAGAAAATGTTTTGGCCTACTCTTCCACGTTGGCCAGGCGTCTTGGAAGAGGTGGGAGTACCCACACTTTACCCCCACCACGCGCGCCCCGCCGATCGACGAGCCGTGGTGATCCCATTGATACCCCTGGATGGCCAGAGGCAGCAGGGATTCGGGAGGAGGAAGATATATGAAGCTTGCACCATTGTTTGGACTACCGCGCCAGGAAATCTAACCAAACCGTACTGGCGACCCCTGGGATTGCAAGTCGAGTGTGTCAACCGTTATGCCACGGCAACACCCTTGGCGAAGCGAAGAGGGGGTTGGTGGTGGGGAGGGGAACTAGACCCTTAATTAAGAAGTACAAAAATCGCAGTCACTCAAAACTCACTGAAATCGCACAACGTCGGAGGCACCTGGGCAAGTGGACTACTACCCAGCAGGGTTCCCGCACACGCGATTCACGTTGTTGTCGTCGTCGTCATATTTTCCGAGGAGGCCACCCCGAAATATTTTCTAGGTGCAAACGTCCCCTGCGGGGCGGGAGGCGCTAAGGGGGGGATACACGGACGTTGAAAACGGCTACGAAGCAATTGGCGTGCGGCGGCTACGACGACATTGTCAACCGGAAAAAAAAAAAACGAGAAAAGTAATAAGAAAAATAATCTAAACACTTTCGTTTATAAATCGCAGACACTAAAGCTATCATGCCTGTTTACAGGGAAGAAAATAAAAATCCTTATTTGTGCGAAATAAGAAATCGAACTAATAACATGACGTGCTGGCAGCGGCAGGGTGAAGGAGTCAAGGTGGGCGAAGCGTGCGTGTCACGAGTGTCTGTGTGGGGCGGCACTTCTAGGTAACCACAACGCTCCTCATTCCTTCTATCACGCGAGCTCTCAGCTCGGGCCACGCGCCCTCCCCCCCTCGTCACTGAGTGACCTCATCCAGCCAATTACACGAAACTCCCATTTAAAAAAAAGCGGCTTATGCCACGCAATAATCCGCTTGTGCGGTGAGTTCTCTTAGCAGGCCTCTTCAGGTGCCTCCTCCTCCTCCGCCGCTGAAATCGCCATCATCCCCGGGACTTTTTTTTTTATTGAGGAGGGCTTGCAGATGGTGATTGGGGTCGACGGCGTAACGATGGATGCAAGAGGGGTGAAGAGGGGGGCGCGTCACTTGGTGACATGGGTCCCCCCCCTCTCTCTTCGTCTCCACTTTCCTCCTCGATCTGCTCCTCCGCTTTCCACCGCTAGCTTGCTGTGGCTCTACCTCGTCACTCTTCCGCCCCAACCCCGACGTGCCCTCTCAGTCCTCGATGACGATGGGCTCGTCGTTGATGGGCTGGCGGGCGACGAGGTGCGAGGGCAGGCCGAGACCCAGCGGCGGTTTGACCGTGATTCGCCTGTATGGTCGCCGGGCTGCCCTCTTCATCTCGAGCGAAGGCAGCAGCTTGCGCACTTTCCTGCCGCCCGCAACCACAACAATGTCAAACAACAACAACAACAATCTTAGCTGCACAAATTAGGTACTGGACAGAAATACCTTTGATATGGCAACAAACACGCATTTTCTAATTGTAGCCACTGCGCTCAAATCATTTCTGTCACTGCAAGTGACAGAAGCAACAGGTGTGGTTGTATTCTTGGTTCTTTCGGTAAAGTCACGTAGAAGGGAAATAATAAAATAATAAAAATATGAAACAATACAAATTCTCACGACGTTTCGACTGCAACACAAGCAATCATCATCAGGTGTGAAATCCACAGCAAGAACATTTGAAAAAAGTGGCCACTTTACCGAAAGAACCAAGAATAGGTGTGTGTTGTGTTAATGCGTGGTTGCTCATCTGAGATTCATGCAATCAGTCAACCCATAAGGCCTTGGTTTGTCAAGTGACCTACTAGTGGCACCTTAAATTCTTCACCTACCCTGGCACAAGGGCTGTGGTGCCGTCCCTGCCACATAATGGCAACTGTTGTTGCCATTATGTGGCCCAATAAAAAACCGGCCAAACCGATCAAAATGTTGCGCAAACCTCAGAGCGACAAACCAGCGATTAAAAGGAGGCTGCGCCTCTGTGCGCCCGTCCTGCCGGCCGGAGAACGGTAACAAGACGCCGGGCGACGCAAACAGCTCTTCACCTCGTCTCGTCCGTGGCCATGAAGAAGACGTCGTCAGGAGCGTCGATCCAGTTCATGCGTCGTCGCTTGACAAGGGACATTCCCCCAGGCTTCAGCAGCTTCACGTTGGCCGGGTACGGTTTGCCATTGATGAGGTACGGGCGCGTCCCCAGCGCCTGTGTGGAGGCACACGACGCGGGTAGAGTCGTGGTGGGGGGGGGGGTGCCAAATATCGTCACCGTATTCTCCGGACTTCACCGGCCACTTGGCACAGCAGTATAGCAGGCGGTCCCCCACAATCGAGCGGTTAATTAATTCAAATGAAAGTTAAAACGTGACGGATAGCAAAACTGCGGGGGAGTGCAACAAATTAAGATGATGAGTTAATTGCCGCTCCATCATTATCCTTGACTGTCACCTGGTTAAACCGACCAGGTGGGCCACCAGTAAAAATACGCAGTTCGCAATCACAAGGTTATGAGTTCAAATGCCAGTTAGGGGTTGAATCAGTCCATCATTTCTCTGGGGTCGATAAAAATGAGGACCACTTAGTAGGGAAGTCACCAGTGGCTGTCCTGTGGATACACTTGCCCCATCTTAGGAATGTGGAATTGCCTACATCTGGCTCAGGGCTGGGAACAGAAGAGAGCAATGCATCAATGCTCATCTGAGTAGAAAGTAAGACCCCCCCCCCAACACCAAACTTGTGTCTGGTGTCAATAACTTTATACAAATCTGGAATAACACACACGAAATAAAACACACACTGACCAGATCATAAGATGCACTCACAACTATTTCTTTAAAATACAGGGGAGAAATAGTATAATCTGGAGATTATGGGAAAATTACATGAGTTATATTATAACTCATAATTATTATAATAACTTACGTAATGAGAATTACAAAAATATTTATAGCAGCGAACACTTACCAACTGCCTGACTTGTCCATGGTTGGAAAGACCTGCAAAAAACGAAACGGATATCATTTTACTTTCATGTATATTTTGCAACACAATGTTAAATAATTTGGCCACAACCAATGGAAAAATTTCGCTGCAATTAAGTCCATGAGTGACTAAAGTAAGATGTTCCATTTATAGGCACGATTCAACATCACATGGCTTTGGAATATTGGCCAATTATAGAGGTTATTCTCATTAAAAGGACAATCAACTCAGTGGTAGAAGGGGCACTTTCACTGAAGGCCGCTGGAAGAAACGAAACCGAACCGGTGACTTTGTCTCCAGTGGGCATTTAGCTGCGTTAATTCTTAATCGGTGACGGACAGTGAGGGGGTGTCAACAGCGTGCGGCGACGAGAGACGGATTTGAGAAGGGTGTGGGAAAGCCATTCCCCACTGCATTATCTGCACTGCCAGCCCATCGATAAACGATGCAAAAGACTTTCTGTAAAGATTAGAGAATCAGCAGACAAAAAGGTGTGTGCAGGCTGGTAACTTTAGTAGTAATACAAGCAAAAGTGTGATTTCTAGACATAAAAAGGTGTGATTGTTACGGCAAATGCATACATAAGCCACCATACAAACTGGGAACAATTATTCAATAATACGTCGATTAAACGACTCTTAAAATCACGACACACTGCAACCGAAGCATGCGTCTTAGAATGTATCCATCAAATCCCATTGATCCACTGATGATCTCCGTGTAAAGCCTTGTCCCAAGCCTCATAACACAGTAATATGTGAAAGGATGTATTACTTACAATTAACGCAAACTAATACAAATGATATTCCAAATAGTAACGACTGATTCACAGAGCGGTAAATGTTGACATGACTATCAGGGACCTGGCCAGAGTAAAGATATAACACCAACACTTAAAGAGACATCGAATCGTCACCATCCAGCCATGCCTCAACCCCACGGTTAAGCAGGAAAAACACCTATAGCCGGCGAAGAGATATGTGGTTGTCAGCATGTGACATCCATAACAAAGCACTTATTGAAGAACTGACAAAGAAATTGCTATGTTCTCCTTATCTTTAAGGCAATGGGCCATAATTAACTGATAGAACTACAAATTGCATGTGCGACTAACTCCTCCATAAGAGTGGCAGGAGACATCAATAGCCGGTGGTGAGTAATGTGGTGAAGCATTGCGATGTCCCTCAAAACGCCGTTGCTGAAGATCTAAAGAAACGATCTGGGGCTTTTCCTCATCTTGAATGACAGTGGACAACGTGTAACTGTATCATAGCTACATATGGATGGATGTGATGCTACCTCCTCCTACTCCATACGTGAGAAGTAATTAGTCGCGTAAGTTTTCAATGCGATGAAGTGCAATTCATCACCCACATCACATTGTATTGTATAGTATGGGTCTCTATGTAAGTCTATTGGTTTCTATGTGAGACTATGGGTCTCTATGTGACGCGATGGGTCTTTATTTCAGTCAATGGTGTACTGTGCAACCTTACCAATAATCAATGGCCAACACATATGCTTTTGCAGCATGTACAAATGTAATCAATTTCGTGGCCCCAATACCAATGAATGGCTTTCCATATTCAACAGTCACAAACCCAGTCTGTTCATTTTCAAATGCCACATTAATGCTCTATTTATATGATTGAGCCAAAACTGCCAATTTATTTTCGACTTACATTTTAATTGTAAAGGTGCTAGAAGATTTGAAGGTGTCACATAACCTTTGTAGACATCCCAATGTAAAGCCTTATGGTCTTAAAACACACACATTTGTAGATTTGGAGGTTATGGCATACTTCTTGCAGTATGTGTGCGAGAAACATTTTTGGTAAGAAAATTTGGTGACATTACAGTGTAATTACACAGTCATGATACAGTCCATTCAATACATCAACATAAATGGAACCTCCTTTGCCAGTAGCAAAATATGATAATTGGTTTATTAACCCTTTTATCTGGCAACAAATGGTGTAAATTCTTACCCCGAGCTCTCATACTCTGATGGTGCATTGTCTTTGAGTTGTGCGCCTTTTGGCGTCATCTGGTCCAACACCATGTGAAACTAGGCTCTAAGAAAAGCTGTCTCGGGTGTGGACCAATCAATTTCAAGGACAGTGCATACATTATCAGAGTTGTGCTTTTTTTTTGCATTCCGACCTCAGGTATTGTGGTCAATGCAAACATGACTCCTTGTAAAAAAAAAGGTGTCAGTTTTGTGCCAGATAAAAGTGTAAAAAAACCAATTATCACATCATCAACATCTTCATCACTATATCAGGCTGGCTTGGTTTCATCTAAAGTCACGTGGATGAGTTTCTTGGTAAGATGTGATCCAGATTTGTTTTTTATAGCGCGGTGTTTAAAATAGGAGTGCTAAAAAAAGATTCAAGTTAAATAACAGCACCTCCTCCTTCAAGCGGTGCTGTTAAGCACGACACACGTCAACAACGCACTGTAGTTTGTTTTCCTAATTCACCTCTTACACTGATATTTGCCTCATGCCTCGAAGTTTTAAAAAAAGTGAATCGACAGGGGTATACCCGCTCATCGGGACAAATACACACTCACACAGCCATGCACAATCACACGCATACTGTGCGCACACACACGCACTCACACATTGACATGCCTTCCCACTGCAACTCCACAGCTATACGCAATGGTCATTGATGCATCAGAGCCAGTAGAATGGATCACACGCAAGGGGCAATAACACCTTGCGGGTAAAAAAAAGAAAAACCGCTGACAAATGTGCAATTCAGTTTGGAAATGGGGAAACAAAGTTACTATCTACAACGGTTTCTCAACTTCTGTTCTCTTGACCTGCCACAGTCCTCGTTTGTGCTGATTACCGAGACTTTACATCCACAAATTGTGTGGCGCAATGGTGAGCGCGCTACGCTGTTCATCGGGTGAGATCCGAGTTCGATTTCCAGCCACAGTTAACATCAGTGGCGAGTCATGTGAAATGGCCCTGGGCCCCACCCCCTCACCAACCCACATTGACCACCATGGTGAAATATGGTCAAATAACCCTCATGTATCATCACGGCAGATTGATGAGCTGAATGTTAATTCACATTAAGCCACTGCATACTGAATGCACGGGATGGTTGGTAATCGTGGAAATTTGTGCTATGGGGGTCACTACGACTGGAGTTGAGACATACTGCTGTACAAACACAGGAGAAGAGGGAAAGAAATGGACATTGAAGAAGGTGGTGCAAGCACACCATGCGTACTCACCCCTGTAGGGCATCAGAAGACGCTTCCTCATGTTGCCTGGGTGGTCAATGCGGGAGACACGCACAGAAACAAGTTAGTTTCCACTGTGGACTAGCCTCCCTGACGGTGTAGTCACAGTCCATGGACTGAGCAAAAATGGCCACCAAGTAAAGTGACAAAACTTTACAGGGCAGAGCTTTACACTTGAACCATTAGTAGCTCAGAGCAGTAATCAGAGCAGCAGCACATTTGTATGTATGTTGAACTTATTTCGCACCGTACGTAGCCAACCGTGATAATCGGAGGTGCGGGGGAAGGACAACAAACTAAACACAAAAAGCAGTTTTAATATGACTTTAAGATGTTGCAAACTTTTGACATTTCTATATCACCCATGGCTAAAAACATTTTGTTATCTAAATTTTGGCAACCCAGGTGGTGTCAACAGGTGAAATATCTTGCCTGGGCAGAATAAAATTAGGGATGCTTATGCAAGCCCAGCACACAATACAGTGCTTGTTAAAGACTCCTGTGCAACCTACTAATTAATGCTCCATATGAAGAATTGTGAGAGATCATGACAGTTTGCAGATATAATTATCAGCATGGGGATGTTTTGGCCAAAACCAATAACACTATTTTTTTAGCTATGGGAAGAAGCCGCAAAACATGGAAGAAACCCATACAGAGAGGAACTTACACACTGCACACAAAAATCGGAGTCAGGTATCGAACCCAGGCCCTTCGTACTGTGAGGCACAAGTATCTGTGTAATTTTACTACACAATGGGCATTAGGCCAAGGTGCCACCCTGCTGCCCTTACAAATCATATACCCCAGGAAATTAGTTAAATGCTTTCCAGGAAAGACAGACAGATAAAGTGTATTTGAACAGACAATGAGTAATGTCTTATCTTCACTTCTCCCATCTGACGGGAAGTGGGCACGTTAACAAAACGACCTCTCACAAGAGATTAGATGCTGAAGAAGAGACAAGCTGATTCAATTGAATGTAAAAAAACCATTGGTTAAGGGAGAAAAATAAAGCAGAGAAAATAACAAATGCACAACAATGCTCACTGCGTAAAACTGAAGATTCCAAATCAAACGAATTACTACTCTGGTTAAAATATTTAAATTTCTTCTGCACAATGTGAGCACCAAATGAGTATCATTCTTCCCACGTTAGCTAAAATTAGCAATGTATAAACTGGATATAAGCATACCGTATATAAGCACAGTTTTATCAGCATACATGCTTACATTACACTGCTGGGGGGAAAGTCAAAGGAAACATTCTGGTACGAGCACACTATGGATAATAAGCACAGTTGCACAGCTTGCTTATATTCAGCTTCAGCTGTACAGATGCGTGGGGAAGTCAACAATAGTTGTTCTACTAGACCAGGGGTCAGCTACCTGCGGCTTCGGAGCCCTGTGTGTCTGTTTATGGACTTCTTCGTGAAGTTATGTATGTACGTATGCACACGCATTGCGGCTCTTAAAATATTGTTTTGTACCGAATTCGAACAAAATGGCTCTTCTTGTTATTTGGTTACCTGACCCCTGTACTAGACAGACTTCCCACCACCATAATAATGTGGAAATTCCACCATTGACTTAAGAAAATAGATAGCAGTACAGTCCATCGCTAGCCTCATCTCAGGATGTTTGAATGTTTCACTTCTGTTAAAACTTAAATGCGTGTAGATTCATGAGATCCTGTCTTCTGAAATCCAAACTGACACCAGAAATATTCTTTGAATTGTATTAACCTTATAGAAAGTTAACAGTGGTGTCCCATGGAAAAACTAGTCCCCACTAGAAGAAACACGTTGTTTGCAAATGTCACTCTTGATAACAAGACTAGCCTGGTCTTTTAATGTTTCAACTGCTTGCACAAATTAACACGCTCCTTTTGATATTCTTGGTTATTTCGGTAAAGTCACGTAGAAGGGAAATAATAAAATAAAATAAATTCTCATGACGTTTCTTTTTGTTTTGTTTAATATTTTTTCTTATTTTATTATTTCCCTTCTACGTGACTTTACTGAAAGAACCAAGAATATAAATCCCTGCAGTCACGAAAGCTTTAAATCAAAATGTAACGCTCCTTTTCGTCCAATTTTTGGCAACAATCTGCATATGTCCTGATCACCAACAATGGGGGAAAATAGCAGGACCATGTCACACAGACAGTCTGACGCACAGATTGTTGGACAGACCAAACGCCAACCACACACGGACACCCCTACCCATGATGATAGGCGGGCGGTAGAGATGGTTCAACCCACCCGTACCATCCAGTCCGTTGTGCTGCTCGTAGCCGCGCTTGCCAAGGATGGTGGGGGAGCCGTGGTTGATGGTCGATCTCACTTTGGTTGGCGTGGAAAGCCCCGAACTGGGTTTTGGCACCACCCTCTTGGGGCATGGGTGAGCCTCTGTGAATGAGGTGTGCAACATATTTATCATTGTCACCAGCGATGATCTGTTCACTTATAGATGAAGGTCTCCCCCAAACTGGCACTATCTCTCATGGTCATACGATGCAACAATCCATCAAACTCCTGCACATAAAACTGTTTATATCGCTTCATCTCGGTGGTGTATGCTCTCTCGGACTTATTGCATAATTCACAAGATTAAACGGGTTTGGGCAGGACGCATCGCTTGATGGGATGGTGGCTGATGGATGAGGCAAGTGATGGAATGGCAGCCAAAGGAGAGAATAAGTCCAAGATGTTTACCACTGTGGAGATGGAAGCAATGAGATCGATTCATATGCAGGTGTGAAATGGATGGTAGCAGGCACCAGAGGTCGCAAACGGGTTTTGATTCCTTACCCGTACCCGGCCACACCAGGGTCGCAAACGGGTACCCGTACCCATACCCGGCCGGGTACGGGTTACCGGTACCCTACCCGATACCCGGCCGGGTATGGGTAGCAGGATATCGGGTAAGGTACGGGTATCGGGTACACGATTGCGACCTCTGGGATGAAGCCATGTTGCAGGCGCGGGTGGGTTGATTCTAGGAACTTGAATTGTGAGAAGAGACAAGACGTTGGGAAATGAGTGACAAACGGTTACTCACCAGTGACTCACGGCCTTCTCACTCATTGGTTGGGGTGAGTCACGTGCGGCTACCCGTACCCGTACTCGGCCGCACCAGGGTCGCAAACGGGTACCCATACCCGGCCGGGTACGGGTAGCCGGGTATCGGGTACCCGATTGCGACCTCTGGCAGGCACTGGACATTGAGGATGGTGATAGTATGGGGAGGCCTTCATCCAAGTGGGTACACAATGGTTGATGATGATGATAACCATATACTCTAGACAGCTCTAATATGAGTAATACACTCCCCGCTACTCCCAACGAGGTTATTTGGCTTGACCACCTGAATGTGAAATTGTAGTTGTTGCTCTGCATTTACATCAGCCATAAGAAAGCAGAAGCATGGAGTGGGTGTAGATGTGGTTAAGAAGCATAACAGAACTCCTTTGAAATTGATTGTGTTGAGCAGCTTATTTACCCAAGTATTTAGCAATGGTTTCCAGCGGCTTCCTGGTCATAAATCTGGGTTTAACGGGCTCCTTTGCAGCTTCAGGCAGTCGTGTTGCACCTACAAGAGCAAACACACACAAAGAAGGAAGTTTATTATTGTTTGAAATGTATTTTATCTTCCCCACCCCCTCCCCTAATTATGTTGGTGTCATGTCAGGATAAAAAATCTACGTGAAACTCTTGCAGAGCTGTTAATCGCTGTCAGAGAGGACAGCTTCCGAAATGTCTTCAAGTGACATCTGATCCACACTTGCGAGTCTGCACTATCCCAAACACCCTGACAAGAGTTACGTTTTGTTGTATGACAGTCGAAGCAATAACTGAATAATTCACAGAGCTGGAATTTAGCCAAAAAGAGTACAACCAAAATGTTATGCAATTGTGCAGCCATTGGTGACTGGGCTGAAACCATCAGCCCACTACACTTTGTAATCTGGTTTAATTACAGACGGCTGAAATCTGGATTCGAACTCATGTTTCAGTGGAAAGGATTCAGCGCACCAAAGTCTTTATTGAGCTACTCGGCCACATCACAAAACCAAATTATATTTTTATATTCAAGTCAATCCACTGTGCCACGTTTAATGAAACGTAGAGCGTACACTATAACGCACCAGGTTTTAAGGCCCTTGGGAAATAATCACACATCCATTGCCTGCATCAGCATCATAGTAGTTTCCATTGATAACATTTATATATAAAGGTTCCTCACTAGTAGCGATGACCTCAGCAGGTGTGTGAACGTGCAAAGGTCTTTTTATTTGCTATTTCTATCGAGCTAAGGCTTAACATGAGTTGATATGCACTGTACGTACTTCCATATTATACATAGATTTGTATTAGTACAGAAGTGTGATTTGCAGTTGTTCTTGCCCCGTGCAGGTAATAATAATACATTGTGATATGACAGCTCCATTATTTATACGACCACTCGTGAGTTGTTTCTTGTAAAACAGATTACCCGTCTCAATAACTCATGCTCAGCGAGAAAAGCCTTCTGTTGAAGCCCCCCCAATCAACCTTCGCTCAGAGGGAGGTCACTCATCATTCTCCTCTGCTGCCTTTCCCTTAACCGCCCTGTGCTGTCGACTTCCTACCCCAGTTCAAATCCAGACTCAAGACCTTTCTAATTCAGCCAATGACTGTCTCCAAGATAAATACAGCTTCTTAAGATGCGGTTGAAATTTAGATGCTAAATAGCTTCAAACTGTATTGTATAATTGTATTGTAATTAATATATGAAGGGCATTATCAATGAGCCTCAACGCATTTTGAGGCCGGTCCTGGATTTCAATGTTTGGCTAATTCCATATGAAGGAACATGTCACATATAGGAGGAAACTGTATTAATCAGGGAAAAGATACCATGTGTATTACGGGGATATTTATAATGCTTTCAGCATTCTTAACATGCTTAAGAATAATTACACCTGAGTAGAATATCTGGGGTTTATGGAGAGATAACCTTCAAAACCAACTGAGAGCCCAATGAGACGAAGGGTCTTGTCTTCAAGGGAAAACTAGGTTATTAAAAAAGAAAAAGAAACTTAATAGGAATATCAGAACTCTGTTCTGTTTCCACATAGAGATGAAAATATTTTAGTCCATCACCCGATTGGCTTTTCAGACCTATGCCATCTCACGGAATTTTGTTCAAACAAGAAAAATCTGGTGATGTCACCACGGCGCCTGTGCCAGGCTAGGTGCCGTGGTGATGTCACCGCCACGTAGTGGCAAATGGCGGTTGTTGTTGTTGTGGTAATTGAGTGATCATTACATGCTTATCTGGGTTGTAGTTTCATGAATCACCTTTGCCTCTGCAACCCTACTCTCCCCTACCCAGAGAAGTGGCAGATCCAAGGGGAGGCCGATGGGGGTGATTGCACTACTCCCGACCACCCCTTTGGAGACCCTGAAAATTAGTATTTATGATATAACAACAGATACAAAACTTGGAATGTTTAAATTAGTAAATAATTTAGTGCCCTATTTAAAAAGCTTAAAATTTCCACTCTCCCCACCCCCAATTTCGAAAGTTTCTAGATCTGCCTCTGCCCATGAGAGTCCATCATCATACCGCACCCCCCCCCCCTCTCCCCGTGTGCGTGTGCACGTGTCACGTACACTTGGCCTTGATGGCGGTGGTATTGATGGGCAGGAACGGCCGGCGCGCCGCCTGTAGCGGGTGCAGAAGGTCACGGCACAGGCGGCGGGCGAGGCGCGTCAGCTTGGTGGTCTGCAGGTAGAAGGCTTGCCGCGTCTTCAGGGTGAACTTGGGGCTGCCGTTGCTCCGGCTCACCGAGCTGTGGGGGCCCTGGCAGTGACGTGACGACACATGCCCCCTCGAGCGGAATTCCTGCTTCCGCAAAAGGTGTTGTTTTTCGGGCAATTTGGTTGTTTTTGATTCCTTAATGAACATGTTGTTATCGATTATATAGTTTTTACAAAACGTTAATCAATACAATTTGCATACATTCCTCAAAATTGCATACGTGCTTAATTTCCGGTGGTCTTGATTTGATTCCCGGATGCGGCAAACATCAGTTGTCATTTCTACTGGTCCTGGCCACTCTCACCCTTGGCCAACCTGCACTGACGAGTGTGGTGAAGTATGGTCAAGCAACCTCCATTACTGACATGGCATGGAGGGTTGTTTGAACATTCCTCATCAATTATCAGATTGAATAAAGGCTCTACATTATTATTTTAGATAATTTTTATGACTATAGTGATGATATTCTTTGGGTCTTTCGGTAAAGCCACCTAGATAAAAAAAAACATAATAAAAATAATAACAATATCACGACGTTTCAATCGCAACACAAGCAATTGTCATCAGGTGAAAAAAGAGGGGGAAAGCTGCTGAGGCAGGCTGCTTATAAAGGTTTAGAGATGGGCGGGGCAGCTAATGTTAATGTAGGAGAGGTCTCCGTAACCTGCAGTAGGTCTATCCCAATCAAAGAGCTGTTAACAAAGGTTTAGAGATGCTTGTGAATGTATGCTTGGAGACAGCTAGGAAAGAGCCATCGCCACATGGAGGTGGAAAAGGATGGCAAGCCGCCATTTACTAACACAGCTAATGGTGGCTGTGTTAGTGAATGTAACTCAGAGAGTCGAAAATAACTGCTAACATAGGTAGGTAGGAAGGGGACATCACAGCCAGTTATGACCTAAACTGGTTAATAATGTCCTTCCAATAATTGCTCAGTTTGTACCCATCTTCTCAGTTGAAATTGTGTCTGTGTTTAGATTTAAAGCTTTCGTGACTGCAGGGATTCATCTTCTTGGTTCTTTCGGTAAAGTCACGTAGAAGGGAAGTAATAAAATAATAAAAATAAAACATAATTAAATAATTCTCACAACGTTTCGGCCACAACGCAAGCAGCCGTCCTCAGGTGAAAACCAGGTCTGTCGGGGAGACAGTGTCTGAATGAAAGCTCGTGTGCTGTTTCATTCAGACGCTGTCTCCCCGACAGACCTGGTTTTCACCTGAGGACGGCTGCTTGCGTTGTGGCCGAAACGTCGTGAGAATTATTTTATTGTTTTATTTTTATTATTTTATTACTTCCCTTCTACGTGACTTTACCGAAAGAACCAAGAACATTGTGTCTGTGTTTATATATCTGGATGGCTTCATGAACGAATCTTTGCTGATAGCCAGTTGGTTTGCAGAGTAAAGATCTAATAGTTACATCTTGCTCATGATTTTGGAAATATTTTTGGTGACCCCTGCTATGTATGGCAAGGTGATGGTTTTGATTAGGTCCTCAGATGGTTCTTTCCCAACGGTTGTAGTGATAGCTTTACAGTTTGTGTAGTCTGAATATCCATTCTTCTTGAGGGCTTGGTGTAGGTGCTCCAGTTCACTGGCTAGGTGGTGATGGTTGGAAATACGAGCTCTATGGTATATAGAGTTTTGATGAGGGAATTCTTCTGGGATGGATGGTGGTGGGAGTCAGGTTTTAGGTAGGCATCCGTATGGGTGGCTTTCCTGTAGACAGTATCCCATTAAGCCATCAGATTAAAAAGAGACCTGATGGCTCAATGGGAGTACTGCTATGCAGTATGTGGACAAATTTGGTACACAGAATAAAACAAATCCTGGAATGGGTCTTTGTTAATTAGCCAATCGCTAGTAGAGTAACACAACTGGACTTGCAACATACAAGAACATTTGTAGCCCAAGGCACTAATCCAGGCTCAAGAGACACTACCTCCCTACCCCAGGTGATTCCCTTCATCTTTGAGTGCCACCACCTTTAGTTCTTCTACAGGGGGTTGTTTGCTATTTAAATGAGAAAAATAATAACGCACACTCTTACAATCTCCCCCAATCTATTCTCGGTTAGAGCTGAATTGAAATGTAGATCGCAATTTCGAGACACTGTCAACACCTGTAAGGAATCACTCAATATTAAAAACATTTCCAACATTATCGCGAGCGTATCAACAGTATTCTAGGCATGAGCAGGACGCCAAAGCCCAAAGTATACTCTTTAAAAGCATTAATTGATAGAGCACTTCACACAAGTATAAACATTCATGTACACTTTCTGGAGGATGGTAAAGGTGCAGCCCTGCAACTGCTTGCTCATGCCACTGAAGACAGAAGGGCCTCCATTTGAAGGAGCTCTAAAGAGTATATTATCGTGGGTATTTGGTCTGCTCTTCCACCAACGCTGGCAAGATGCCTTGGAAGAGGTGGGAGTGCAGAGACTTTACACAACCACATGTCACCGAAGCACTAACTGTAGTGTACACAGGAAGGGGGATTTAAGAAACTTCTCCGTGCTCTTCATGGCCATGATCAGAACAACCTCTGGATTGCAAGTCCAGACTGCTATCCATTACACCAAAGAAGGAACTGATACAATTTTGAGATAGAATGATTCAGTGATGGTTAAAATAGTCATAAATACATCGAATTAAGAGTGTAGAAATGTATGCGTTTTAATTCATGTACTTTAATAGATTTTAAACAACTATATATTCATACCACTCGAGATTCAATATGCACTACCGAGGAGAAATTAACACATTGATTTTTCAAATGATTTGCCTTTGAAGACTTCAAAGCTTGAGAATTCTTTAAATCATAGAGTGGATTAATCATTGCATACAGACTTCAAATAAATTACTCTCTTGGTTAATTTAATATTCAAAAGGCTATCAACAATCCTGATCATCAGAAGCCATGATCAATAAACTGCTGCATCAAGGCCTCCCCAAGACCACACCATCTCACATGATCCTGCGATATAATAATTATCCAGAACCTGCACAGGAGCTGATATCACTACATTGCATCGGTGGACGTCCTCTTGAACGCCTTATATACCTTGGCTGCCACTCATTATTATTGGCCATCAGCCATCATCCCTTCTAGCCATGACCATTCTTGCTCAAGTCGACTTATTTTATCACTCTTCTCTCACTACTACCATGATTCCTGTTTCCATGAACTTCAGACATTGATTCCTCCATCCATGCTGAGGACTCAGGCTATCGGCCCGACTGTTTCGTCTCAAGGACATAGTGTTCAACTACCATCCGGCACACTCACTCACACGATAACTCAACCACCCACTCACCCACACACCCACTCGCTGAAACACGCACTCACGCTCGCACATACCAGGCCTCCCGCACGGAGGAGAGCGGCACGGTCGCTCTCCAGACGTGTGGGCATCTTGAGGCCACCGTACTTCTTCCAGTAAGTCCAGCAGGCGGTGCACAGCCGGCACTGCATGTTGGGCGGCCCCCACGAGTACCACTGGCACGAGCTGGCAGCTGCGTGGGGAGGGGAAGGCGGCACAACGCCATTGACGTTCGCTCGTGTCAAAGCAAAGGTAGAACATGGGGCCCAAACAACCCATCGACCGATGAACGTCTGGTGTTGAACAAAACTGATAATAATAGAGCACACTTTATTTGAGCACTGTCCTGGTCTTCTTTTGCTGTATGGAAACAGCAACGTCAAGTTTTGATTTCCAGTCAAGAATAACATTGGACGTGAATTCAATGTATAGTAATTTAATGGAAAGTCGGTAGAGTAAGATTTATTTATATCGGAAAGCCCAGCTCTAAGTTTTTCTTCACCCAATTTAAACACAGTAGAGCAGTGACACAGTTGTTAGCCCACTGCACTACAAACCCAGCGACCCAAGTTAAATTCCCAGCAACGTGGCTCTGAGCCCGTCATGTCCTCTCCCTTCCCTTCACCAATCAACATTGACCAGCTTGGTGAAGTATGGTCAATTAACCCACATGACAGATAGGGCGTGGGAAAGCCTCCAATCAGCAGGAGATTGAGATTCAGAGCTGTAGATATATGAACACATTTTAACCTGGCCATTTCAACATTCCAGTCTATGCCTAGAGTGACCTAAAAAACAGTGAAAAGAGAAGGCCTTGGTGAATCGTTTCTATGGCCTAATCATCACCGTGTAGCTAGCTTACACTGACAAGAACAAGCACTCCATCTACTGACGCTGCTGCTGCAGCTGCAGCAGCAGTAGCAGCTCTGATAGCTGCTGCAGTGGCTTCTCAGAACCGCACGGTGGAGACACGACACCAAGCGCTCCCCTCGCCTGCGTCTTGGCCCAGCCACCGACTTGACACAAAGCCGACTGTCTCCCCCACCCGTCCACCCACCCGCGCCCTCGGGGCACTGAACACAAGCAACTTATCACCCAGACAGCCACTGCGCCATGTTACCATTACGCAGTGGGTGATTGCTTGCCTTGTCCCGGAAGGTCGAGGGGAGGGCCTGGCAGCGGCGCGGTGGAGGGAAAGGAGGATGTGCTGTCTGGTTGGGTAGGCTCCGAGTAGCAAGTAATACAAAATGCTCGCCAAATTCCCGCAATGATTGTCAACATCATCGGCAGCCAAGAACTACCCACTGCTGGATGAAGGCCACGTTCAAGCCAATGCTATGTCTCATGGTCTTGTGATGTAACAATCTGTCCAGCTCCTGCACATAATCTGATTTTCGTTTTCATGGTAGATGTATTTGAGGGTATGTTTCCTCCTTTGTCTGCCGCTTCATTATTGCTCTCAACCACCGTATTATGTTTAATGTCCACGTTTCTAATCCAAATGTACAGTGGGTTATTTGAATAAGAGGTCACCAGGCCTGCAGAAAGCAGTGTATCAATCAATACGCAGCAATGAGACAAAGGGGCTTAGATAGCAGCTCTGCTGCGGACGGTGTGCCTCAGCCGGCAAGATCCAGGGCACGTTATTTTAGTACTGGTTTTGTCTCCAAGCTGTGTGCAACCCTTTTCATCAATTCGGCCAGTTTCTACAGGGTACATCAATAAAAGCAACACATGTTTACAGCAAAGTTCCCGTTTGCATTGAATTGTGTTTATAGGCGTTATCGTGACCACCCACTACAGACAGACAGCCGGACACAGAGAGAGATATAGACAGAGCTAACGCATTCACACTTTAGAAACCAGTTGGGATTCATTAAATAGTAAAAAAAAGCTCCGAGTGACTGACCAAAGCAGCTTTCGCAGGCGCGTCCCACGCTGGCGTTCTGCGGTGTCGACAGCACCAGGCCGATGGGCGGCGTGCCATTCGCCACCGCCGCTTTCACGGGAGTCGCCGCGATCTGGTTTGGGTTCGGCTTGTTGCTGTTGGGGCAGCAGATAGAAACAAGGATGTGCAAATCGGCACGTTTGTAAAACGGTTACGACTGTGGATTTTGAAAGCAGGGGCGGGAAACCTTATCAGTACTGAGGGCCGAGTAGGACTTTCAAATTCCTTTGGCGGGCAAGCACAAATGAACGCACACACCTCAGTCAATTCAGACTACTTTTCTCGCACTGTTGCCCGTCACAAGCACCTAAACAATGGTCTAAATGTCCAGGTGTGTATGTTTTTCAGGGTGGGCTGCGATTTCAGTATTTATTCTGCCAAGCTTTTGCTACGCACTGCTGTGGGCACCTTTCAAGAGTTGAAACCATACTCGGGATTGCAATCGGTGGTGAAAACGTAGGCGTTAGACCGTTTGTGGGCACGGGGTCTGGGTTTATTGGGTTGCTAGTTCAGGTTCGTGGGTTAGTAGCGCGAGTTTGATGAAGATTCCAAGTCCGGTTTTTGTGGGTGCGTGTTTTTGCCCGTACGGTGTTTGTGGTGCAGCGTGCTGGCTGCCGTTGGGTTCAAGTGGTGTGCACCATGAATACTATCTGATAAGGAAGATGTTGCGGTTTAAAAAAATCAGGCTTAAGATTTATTTTATAACCTCTTTTATATATTTTCAACTAATGTGTATACTTTTTATTATTTTGCGAAACCCAAAATGTTATTGATGTCATGTCATGTTTACTTGTGAAGTGCTCTGTGACAATTTTATTATGCAGGGCGCCAAATTAAATAGAGACGGGCGTACTTTAAACATTGAAATTCAAGTAAGCATTGAACGGTGTTCATTGACTGCCAATTATGAACTAATATTATACATTTCACATTACCATGGCAAGGATAAGTCTTTCCATTGGACAAACATGGCTGACTTTCCACAAAGTCATGCTCATTCATTGTATGGATCTAACGCAGGATTTAAATGACCCGAGTTATCCCAGAACATGATTTGAACTTGTAACCTTTCAGTTTCAAGACAGGCACTGTCAAAATGTATTTAATGTTTGTATTTTTAATCCAACAGAAATATTTCATAGTCCAATCTCACAGACAGCCTCACTTTTAAACTGGCCACTATGACATACTTTCACCATCCACCAGATCAGACATTTCCGAAAGGTATATCTTCTTCCCCAAAATTAAAAGGGCTACACAATTTAAAATAGAAACAGAAATGCTTACGACATGAATATTTGCCAATTTGTTTAAAAAAAACCCCACCACAACAACACCTCTTTGGCACTTATAAATCCAGACTAAGCGAGTACCATTATACATACAGGGGAGCATTTAATTTTTTGTGAAGGATTCCAGCAATGAAAGCCCCCCCTCTAGTTTCACCGCCACTAATTGTATGTCATGGGAATGTATTGCAATGAGCCTTCTACATTCCGTGAGAATTAGCTCCGTAATTGCCAAGACAAAGCTAAACAGTGGGAAATCTCATTACATTATTAAAACATCACACCTTTAGGAATATTTCTGGGACCAAAACACTTCAGTTAATATTGTTGGCTTTAATTGTAAGAAGAATTTAAAATAAAAATCCACTGGGGTATAACAGTATCTTAAACACCCCAGTCGAAATTAAAGTGAAATTGGAAGGGTAGTCACTAGTTTTGTTAAACAATAGTCATACACCAGCAACCATTTTGAGAATCTATTCCCAATTCTGAGAAGCCTAACCCGGTAATCGATGCCAAGTGGAATGTAAGTAATTAGCTTGCCGTTTTGTACGTGCAAAAGAACAAACCGTACAGCGGCCTCAGTCGCTCACCATGTGGGACATTTGCCCTCATTTATCAGTTAAACGGTAAAGGTGCAACCCTGCAATTGCTTGCTTGCTTAAGACACTGCTGGTGGATGAATCTCGACTAGAGAGCTTTTAGGGGGTATTTGGTCTAATCTTCCATGCTGACCGGATGCTTTGGAAGAGGTAGGCATACCCATTTGTATTGCCGGATGGACACAGGCGGCGAGTGGAAGATTTAAGAAACTTTCCATATTTTTTCTACTGGAGTGCCGGGAAATATAAATGCACCAGCTAAAAAATTCCAGTGTGCTAACCGTTACATCATTGCAGCTCCTGCAGTTTCTCAGTAAAAAAAAAGTTGAACATTTATATTGCGAGACATTTGCGCTAAAACCGATTTCAACAGTCCCTCTTGGTCACTCACTAGTTGGGGATGTACACCTGCTTTAGCTTGCTCTCAGCCTCAGCTGCTTTGAGTCGCTTCTGAAATGCGCAAAGAATAAAAACGTATTAACATGTCAGTGTAAACCTGTCATCATCATCACGACCTCCATCATCATCACCATCATCGTCATTATTTTGAGACATTGTCTATCCCCCAGAACTGCTTTTTACGTTTAGTTTGTTGTCCTTTCCTTTTAGCACGGTTGGCTACATACGGTGCGAAAGAAGTTCAACATACATGCAGTCGATGAAAGGCCTCCGCACGTATTGTGCATCGTGGGTGGGGGGGGGGGTTAAATGATGAAACGTCACCACGATCGCCAGTGCGGGCTGGTGAAGGTGGGGAGCATTCATGTGTGAGTGGCAGCACTACAAATGCAGGTGAAACAGGTCGGTGGGATGGTTACCTGTTGCACGTATCTGTCCGTTGTCTTCCACATATAGTAATACTCGATAATGCTGCTCAACGTCTTCCATGGTAACTGTAGAACAACGAAAACGTTGTAGAAACTCAGATACACTTGCATCACTCACTGTGACGAATCTATACGTAAATGTAATGGGTTCTAGAGACACTTTGTAGATGCAACCTCTTTATTACAATACACCACTCCAACAGTCCTGATACACTGTTACAGCCTAGGAACACAGCCTACTTCTAGCGTGCCTGACACTGGCTACCCTCTCAGGTCCTCCGGCTACAATTACCCTAGGGGAAAGCTACCTGACCCGACCCAGCCAAGGTGCGGGTCTAGACTCTGGCTTCCTCGGACCTCGCCCTTACAAGGACGTAGAGCCGGGAGTCACAGCGTCCCGGCCCTTACAAGGACAAGCGGGGCGAGGGGGTCCAGGGTCCTAAGCTGGCTGGTCTTGGGTCTTGAGCTGCGACTGGTCCCGATCGGCTGAGGAGGTCCCCTTGTATGCCCCTTTGCCCATCGAGGGGTGGCGTTGCGTGGGATCATAGATCCCCCGCAGCCCCCCCCCCCCCCCGTTGGTGGCGCTGAGGGGATTAGCTGTCTGGGGTCCCCATCGAGGAGTGACGTTGCATGGGATTGTAGATCCCCCGCAGCCCCCCACCCCCCTGGCGGTACGGGGTACCCTTGCAGATGGACCTTGTCTACCACTGCCGGTAAGCGTGGCCCATCTATGGCACTACATTTATATAAATTAAAACGATTTCGTTTTTGGTGTTTGTTCCACCGGAAAAGGTGGGGCTAGAATAGGAACTAAGCGGAGGGGCTGTGGGGGGGATAGATGAGAGAGGGGCATAGCCAGAGATGTACAAAAGGTGGGGCAAAGAGAAGTTTAAGTTCATGTATTAGGTATAGCCCTGTGAGCCATTCGGCTCTTGAATCGGGTGCAACCGCAACAAACAGAAAACAAAAACATGAACAAAAAACATCTTAAAGTGAATATGTGACTAAGTGCAAACAGAAAATCCAAGAAAAGACAGCAAAATATTGCAGACGTTGGGAGGAGCTGTGAATTGAAGAAATGAAGACTCCTCGTTTATTTTTAAAGAGTCTTGTAAACCAAGGGCTCACCACACAATGTCCACGGATGCCTACTTTGTTGAGGGCGATATTGGCACACAAAATAAAGATTAATTGATACACAAGGATATGCCTGGCAGCTTATTATTATTTTATATAGTCGGTCAAATATTTTGTTGGTTAGATTACACGGCCATTGTAATATGTTCATGCAATGTGTATCTAAACTTGAGCAATGTGTAATGCTAAAGGAGATATAAAACATTGGTTTGAAAAGTGTCAATTCTTTACCTTGAGGGAGCAGTGACCATTTTATGTGACGTACCGATCCGCAAAAAAATACAGTTTCAGTATTTTAAATTAAACATTAGAGTGATAAAGCAACAATCAATCACTCAAATGCTCATGCCGAGGTTTTGTGTGTTCTCTATAGAGTCGACTTAAGACTCCATAATCCTCCATAAAGTTAAATCCTGGGCCACCAATGTTGACTGAATTAATTCGAGCGCTACCATTGAATTTGAAGCTCCGTGGATATACATTCTTATAATTAAAGTGATAAATAATGTCAAATGCTGTTTTTTATTTTATATAGTACCTTAGTTTTAAAACCTGTCCTCAAATTTAAATAAGCAAGCTTTACTGCTGATAAAGCACTGCATTTTGTAAGCCGGTCCAGAGTTTGCTTGGATTACAACCAATGCTGCTGAAAATATTCACTCCGGGATGGCCGTGCATGTGGCCAATGCGGTCGGTGTAGAACAAACAACTTAATTTTTCGATTTAAAGCTTTCGTGACTGCAGGGATTCATCTTCTTGGTTCTTTCGGTAAAGTCACGTAGAATGGAAATAATAAAAAAAAAATAACAGACCTGTTCTCCACCTGAGGACGGCTGCTTGCATTGTGGGAATTATTTAATGATGGTTTATTATTTTATTATTTCCATTATACGTGACTTTACCGAAAGAACCAAGAAGATCTTAATTTTTTATGTGGAGAGACAAATATGGCAAGGAGGCATATTCTCTGCTCATTATTTTTTCATTGGTGTATTTTTTTCATGATCATCTCGTGTCTTCCTAAAAGATGAGTCTTTTGGTGAAATATTCTACTCTGATAATTGAGTGGGATATGACTTTTAAGTACAAAACTTTTCGTGTGATCTTTGTCTACATTTTGTTTAAATCAAAATGTGGCAAACTTAAAATAACATTTCGATTTAAAGCTTTCGTGACGGCAGGGATTCATCTTCTTGGTTCTTTCGGTAAAGTCACGTAGAAGGGAAGTAATAAAATAATAAAAATAAAACATATTATAATTGTTTTATTTTTATTATTTTATTATTTCCCTTAAAATAACATATTTATGATTTACATTTCGACCCTGAACCGTGAAAATTCAGCAACCTCACGGCAGTGAGGTGGACAGGTGGTTCAGAGATCAGTGTGCTGAGCCGGCACTGCTGAGATCCTGGGAGAGTTGTTAGCCAGCTGTGATTAAACTGGTTTCGCAGGTGTAACGGAGTTGATGGGTTCGGCCCCGTCACCAATGACTGTATTAAAAACATGACATTGTTGCAACAATACATTTAAATTGGCTAAATATCGGTTTGATTATTATTCGACGAACATTATGTTCAGTGGCAGGGTGGGTCGGAAAGTGCTGCCCTTTATTGTGGGGACCAGAGGTCACTTCAAGGTGTCTTAGAGGAAGCTCTGTGATATCTGCTTTTGCGGGCCGTTCTCCAACAAGAAGGCTTGCGTACTGTTAGAGTCTCCGTCTCTTGACACGACACCGATAGCACAACCATGATAGAAGTCTCCAAAGGAAAAAAGAAGAAAAAAACATAAAAATGAGAGGACACGAACATCACTCACAAAGTCCTGTCGGATGTCGTTGAAGTCTTTGCCGTATTTTTCGAGCGACTCCTCAAAGAGGTTTGCCTCGGAGGCCGACCACTCCTCCATCTCGTCGCGACACAGCACGGGCCCGCCCTGCGGGACCAGGCTCGCGATCGCTTTGCTCAGGTCGTAGTCGTGCTTGTGCAGGGTGTCCATGGCGTGGAACTGCATGTGTCGCGTGTCGGGGTGACGGCGGATAAGCGGGAAGGGTTACAAAAACATTGAAACAAAACGTGAAATTTCTATTTAAAACTTTCATGACTGCAGGGATTCATCTTCTTGGTTCTTTCGGTAAAGTCACGTAGAATGGAAATAATAAAATAAATAAAATAAAACATAATAAAATAATTCTCACGACGTTTCGGCCACAACGCAAACAGCCGTCCCTCAGGTGGAGAACAGGTCTGTCAAGAAGACAGAGTCTGAATGACACACCCCAGGCTTGGAGCGTCTATTTAAGCTGGGATGGAGGGGGGAAGAGCGCCTTTTATTATTTCCATTCTACGTGACTTTACCGAAAGAACCAAGAAAACGTGAAATGTTCTCCCGTTTTTCAGCAGCATTCAATCAGTCAGTACCCATATATATGTCAACTGTGCATCCAGCGGTCTAAACGGGCACGCTATAGTTAGTCGATCAGCAGGTCGAGTGTAGAGGGTTAGAGTGTCGATACGCATACCTCTTCCAACACGTTTGGTCAATGTGGAAGAGTAGGCCAACTACCCTCTAGAGTTCACTCCCACGGAGGCCCTTCCGCCAGCAGTGGCTTGAGCAAGCAACTGTAGAGCCACACAACCACGTTTGGTGTTTTTGTCTTCAGCTCGTCAATGACAAACTGTGGACATTTGTTGACGAATCTTGGTATGGGGATTTTATTTAGCCATTTAAAGACTAAGTGACCAAATAAAATGCAAAGACTTGAATAAACATCCACAGGTTATTGGCAACTAAACTAAGACTAAAAACGACTAAAATGCTGACTGCATTAACACTGGTTTTCAGGCTGTACCGCATGTTGTATGGCACAATGTCCAATATTTTCCTCCATGTGCTGGTGAGAACTTCAATAACTAAATTCAACAAACTGTTGGGCATTATGCCGAACAACACACAGGCACATCCCGACAGCAACACAACATTGCACCGCACGTTTGTTCATATAGGATCAGCTATACCAGATATATAGTGCTTCCCCGCTATTATGGACAGAGCGAATGCATGAACACGATCAAATTTAGTGGGAAATTGTTAACAAATACAAGTAATGCACTGGCCGGGGAGTGTGTAAGGATACAATAAGTAAATCTCGCAACATTCATTATTCATTCTGACGTATAACTGATAAACTATCACAAGGTGATGGTTTGCATGAAGATCCTTCCAAAAACAGAGAGAAGGCAGAGGGATCGACTGACTTTACAGATCAAAACTCTACGTTATAACATGGGGTTTACAAAGAAAATTTACTTATTTTAAGTTGGCAAGTGAACAAGTTTTGAAGTGACGTATAAATAGTTTCATATTGGTAGAGCGCTGAGTATCAAATAAATTCTTAAAAGTTCCGATTTAAAGCTTTCGTGACTGCAGGGATTCATCTTCTTGGTTCTTTCGGTAAAGTCACATAGAATGGAAATAATAAAATAATAAACATAAAGTATAATAAAATAATTCTCACGACGTTTCGGCCACAACGCAAGTATCCGTCCTCAGGTGGAGATCAGGTCTGTCGAGGAGATAGAGTCTGAATGACTCTGTCTCCTCGACAGACCTGAATGACTCTGTCTCCTCGACAGACCTGTTCTCCACCTGAGGACGGATACTTGCGTTGTGGCCAAAACGTCGTGAGAATGATTTTACAATGTTTTATTTTAATTATTTTATTATTTCCATTCTACGTTACTTTACCGAAAGAACCAAGAAGATCTTAAAACGTTGTAAAATAAAAAAAATATGCATAAACCAATTTTAATTATAGAGTCAAATGATCAAATTTTAAGGCAGAACTGTATCGCTGGAAAGACAACTGACCAGTGCACAGCCCATTATTATTAATTATTATTCTGCATGAACTGTTTTCTGGGTCAAGCCATGCATAACTGCAGTTAGCTCTGGCGGCATTTATCTACGACTACAGTTTGGTATGACGAACCGCAATGGTCAGTCAGTTTTACTATAAAGTCAGTCAATATTTCTGCCTGCCCTTCATCCTTAGAAGGGCCATTGCCTGAAAAGAAAGTCTTAGAGGGTGATCCATGTACAGATAACACATTCATTTCCAATGACCCTCTTACTTTCTTCGCAACAAGTGATTGAGCATTGTGAAAGTGATGGCTCCACATATCATACCCAGTAGTGTTGAACAAATGTGTCATGATAGACAGGCTATATATGAAGAAGTTTTTAAATAAAATGTTGTTTCCTCTTTAATGTTGCCCGCTTATTTTAGTGATAAATGGATCACTGTTATGAGGCAGAGTTTATGACTAACGAGGTTAATTTATCTACGTGGGAAGATAAAGCATCATGTACGTTTGGTGTGTTAATTTTTTTCTTAAAATGTAGGTGGTAAAGTAAGGATGAGGTAGAAACTGGAGTAAGTGGGTGCGTGGGTGGGTAGGTAGGTAGCTGGGTGGAGAGCGGATGGCTGAGACTAGGATGAGCTTGAAAAGTAAAACGACAATTCAAAAGTTTTGGGAGCAAGAGATGAAAAAGCTAAGTGGGAAGACAAACGGTGAGAAACAGTTGTGGCAACGGATTTGAAGAACGCTTGCAAACACATACAATGTGTTAGTGGAAATATATTTACATCACGTAAAAACTGAAAGTACAGCATCATATATTGTCTCATTAGAAAAACTCCCAAGTTTAACCAAAGGGGCTTATTAAATATACTTTCTTACCTCTGCTTCTTGGTTTAAAAAACTTTGTTATTAAAAATGTAAAAAGTCAAAACTCCCTAAAGAAAAGGCAAATATCAAGACACCTAAAGGGCTCATTATTTGGTTGACATTGATTTCATGCATGGCATCCCATCTCCCTAAATTGTTAAATATTTTAAAAATCTTACTCTCACCCCCCACCCCCGCTAACACCATGCTCACATCATTAGCTTGTGGTTGTAAGGCAGGAGACTGGACAAAGAAGAACATATGAATAGAACAAGGTGTTTGCCTACCAGCGTGATGTCTCTAGAGGCAGCAGCAGCGCTCATGTGAAGGCTCGGCTGTCTCACCGAGCTGCTGCAATCCAGGGCGCGCGCAAACGTGCCCACAGACCTGCACGTAGCAGAGACACACAGACAAAGATCCCCCCATGTAGCCGAGACAGACCGTTGGGGCAAGTGCTGTTTGCAAGCATATACCAAGATCAGCACAACGAAAGGTGTGGTGTGGCCAGACCACATCCAGTTGCCTTTGTCTGCCCAATGCCCACTGCACCAGGTACTCATTTAAGGCTATTTTGACCTAGGGGAAGCCAAGGACTGGTTAAAATATTCGTCACGGATGTTGGCTGTGAGCAAAAATTGGACTTGGGTCACCAGGTTCGTCGTGAAGTGGACTTAACCACGACAAGAACGCTATCCAAGCACGTGTAACACACACAACAAGGATGTGCCCTGCACGTGTAAAGGGGAATACACACACAAATTAGAAGAGTCAAAATTAAAATAATTAACCAAATTTGCTCAATCACTCACTTTCCTAATCAACATTTAGGTTTCTTCTAAAATATTGATTCGCCGCTCCTTTGTTAATCCAAGATTGATTCTAGATTTGAAGCTTTCGTGACTGCAAGGATTCATATTCTTAGGTTTTTCGGTAAAGTCACATGACTTTACCGAAAAACCTAAGAATATGAATCCAAGATTGGTTGAATGATTTCCAATGCCGTGTTGGTCAGTACGGTCCAACAATCCCGTTGGACTGTACTTCACCATGCTGGTTAGTGGGTTGTTGAAGGGCCGGGAAGGGGAATGGAAACCCAGAACGAGTTCGGGTATTATTTGCCGCTAATGTTAGCTGTGGCCGGAAAATCAGATTAAGGTGTCCAGGTTCATAGCCCAATGCGCTCACCACTGCGCCACTGCAGCACCCCAACGATAGTATGCATGCAAGAAGGGTTATTTTATTTCAACATGCATATATTATACTTGTAAAGAGCATAGGTTTATGCTTTAAGGCACGAACATCCTTGTTGACCCATAACCAAAAAAATGTGTTCCCTTTTCAATAATCTCATAACGCCTTCACTGGCTGTTCAGAAATCTGAGATGTGGTCGCATTTAGATGCTTTATAAATCCAAATTGTATTGCATGATTGTATTGTGTTATTACCATTCAGAGCAAGGTAAATTTATCACCTTTACACATGGTGTTTCTGGAGAATACTAAACACTACTGAACACTCCCTTATATATAGTTAATAATAAAAATGGATGCTGCTGTGGTGTAATTGTTAGCACAATGGGCTTGAAATCCTGAATACAAAACAATAATTCGCGTCATTGTTCAGAATGTAAATAATGAAATAAATAGGCATAAAAACACCTCTGTCCCATATCTCTCTCACCACAAAATAGTTTTTACACATATCCCATCGCTCACACGGCCTTCTGGGAGTGATTACATTCCATAGCATTGGTTTTATACAAGCAAACTCTGAAATGGTTTCAACGTTTAGTGCCTCATCAGCAGAATCATGCTTGCCTAAAGCAATGCAGGTGAACTGCCAGACGTTCATATGCAAGGATCCTGTGTTAGATACGGGTCCTAGTTCGACACATAACTATACAATTCATATGATCTCCTGCCACGGCAGCTTTACAATGTTCAAGTTTCTTACATTCCCCCTGCCCCTCCCCCCCCCAACTTCTAAACTTGACGGTGATATGGCCCGGTGTAAGCGTATTCACCGCTTGTTACAGAGGTTCGTGGTGGGATTCCAAAAAGCAACCCTAGTTATTACTGCGGGTAAATTAACCATACAATTAACCGTCTGCTTCACAGTGGATGTGAAAGATCCCTTGGCATTATGTAGTAGGCCAACTGTGTGCCAGCGTCACAGCTCAAATGTGCCAAATTCAAAAAGACATACAATCTAATTGTTCAAATGGGATTACGCGTAGCGATCGTCACCCCAACTGGCAGACCAATGCCCAATTACAAGCCAGGTGCTGAGTCACCTTGTGTGCTGCATACTCGGGGTGCCCTTTCAAAAGTTTGAGATGAGATGTAACGTACAAAGCTTATCGGGTATAAAACACTCGCTCCAGTATAAAAGGGCGGTCTTTAATTTTTAAAAAGTAATAATTATGAATGTCCATACCTGGCAATGACGAGAAACTGATCAATGTGCCGCTGCATGAGTGGATTCTCCGGGTCCCAAACTCTCGCCTCCAGCTTCAGTTGGTCTCTGCAATCAGGCTCCCCTGTGGAACACACATAATGCTCCATCATCCCTTGTCGCTCGACAAAGAGTGAGTGCCAGCACACCTGCTCACAGTGGCATTTAACTGGTCAATCGACGTATTATTTGCTCAATATGAGCAATGAGGCAGTGGTCATTGCATATCTACAGCCCTTGTCCAAGTGGGAGAAATTATATTTTCCTATGACAGGGGCATGTCTCTCCCAAGGACAACCACTGTTGACTTCTTCACAAAATGATAATTCATTTACAGTATACACCTCGGAGGGATGATGTGAACTGAATCAACCTCCAACGAGGATATCTACTTGCAACCTTGCAATTGCAAGCCGCTCACTCTATTGTGAGCCACCAGGCTGGTGTAACTTACTGATGGTCCAAAAAAATGTCAGTGGCAATAATGTTTTTGCACACGAGAATCTGTTTGCTGCTACCCTCTATTAATATCAACCCTTGGAACAGGCAATTTTGGTCCTAATCGTTTTTTAAATAATACATTATACTAATTTACGGTGTCTGTTAATATTACTGGATTGCCATCTCAGTCATGGCTTTATTTTTATTCATAATTCACAACGCCGCTCAGTTCTGTTTGGTGAGGTGGGTGCCCATGGTTAGATATCACTCGCCTCGTTTTCAGAATATAAAATCAGAATTACATTTTACTGAATGACACATTCAAAATGAATTGCTCCTTAACTAATGTTCCAAGGATCAACATTGTCGAAGCCTTGCCACCAGCAGCAGCAGTGCTGTGAGCAACCATCTTCACGGCATATGGGAACTAAGCCCATCACCTGTTGAGAATGCAATCTTAGCAAAATCACTATGAAAAACCCAGGCACAGCCACACAGTTTAATTAACAGTAAACATAAATCCCAGCTTGCTGAATGTCCCCGTAATGTTATCTAGACAATCCAGGTGGCTGAAATGTCACCACACATGTATTTAATCCCAATCTCCGGTTACCAAACCGCCTGTGTCTCTTAAACAAAGACGCAGCACAAAATATGAATTAGATGTTATCGTGCAGATACGACAGTGTAATTGTCCGAGGCGAGTTTGAAAGCTTTGTTAATAAATTGATGACCTTTATTTATAACCAGTTACGCGCCCACCGGGACCAGACGTCTCTCTTCCAAAGGGTAGGTACAGTGGAACAGCAAATAACAAGGCATTCAAGAGAAAAAAAAAAAAGACTTTAAAAAGTGACTTTCAAGAAGGAACTTGTGGTGTCACTGTTGTGGTTCAAGGATTTAAATGGGAGCCCTTGTCCAATTTCCCCCCTTTCTTCGTAGCCGGTGCCTCGGCCCTTCAGGCCCATGGGCCCCCGCTGCAATTGTACTGCCTGTGTACTTGTCAGCTACACCACCACTACATCCATATAACGAGGAGCTAATCTGGAAGTATTTCCAGAAAACCCCTCTAAGACAACTCCACCAATTTAAATGAACGAGTCGTCCTTTAAAGGCTTATATGTAGTACATGCAAATGAGCTAACCATTTTTATAAAATATTTCTGACCCAATAATTCAGCTTAATGACCCAATGTTACTTATCGGATGCACCATTTACAATAACACAGGGTTAGGCAAACACTATTTAAAATTATACAACAGGTGCATTTATGTGTATATCTCTTTGGTAACATTATTGTTCTAGATATTTAGTTATTATTATTATTGTACCCCATTTGGTATTTCTGTTTTGTAAAATTCACGTCATGAAATTTGTTAAATAAAATTAATCATTGTGGGGTCAATAAACTACCTTAGAATCAATGTATTAACCATTAACAATTGAGAGGCTGGCCACCAGTTTATTATTAGGCAGACATATTGGCAGCAAAGAACTCTTTGCGCTTGCAGGTGGAAGTTGTACCATCTTTGAGAAAATCTGGGATGTCAGCTTGATAGCGGGGGCCAACGCGGATCTCTCCCTTATCTGCTAGGAGTGTCTTCTGAGTCGGATCGTAGACCAATGAGTAGAAGAAACAGTCCTGCGAGGTCAGTCCCCAACACAAACAGATCAACAGCACAGCAATCAATTTAACAAAAGATGCCAACAGCAAAAACGTATAAATAATTAACTGCATTTCTGTATTAAAATCAGTTTAACACGTAGGCTTTTGCGACCAATATCATCCATACCAGAGGTTTTTGGTTAGATAGTGTAAATATATAAATGTGTCGTTAAAACCTGCCACCACCCGACAGCCAACGAGTAAGGGTTGTCACGTTAACAAAACGTGGCCAATTCGTCACTAGTACAGCACAACGGTGTGTTGGAGAGCCAAGCCACAACACTTACAATCTGAGTACGACGTTTCGCCAGTAATTACAACTGGCTTCATCAGGCGACAGCCAGATTTGTGGAGAAGTCTTACTGTTTCGAAACACTGACGAATTGGCACGTTCTGGTTATGTGACAACCCTTACTAGTTGGCTGTGTCGGGTGGTGGCGGGTTTTAACGACTCATTTATATATTTACACGATCTAACCCATTAAAATCATCATAATTTTGGTACATTTCACCCATAGTCAATCCACTGCTGGAAGAAGGCCTTGCAAAGCTGCCATCACCTCTTATGATCCTGCAATGTAATAATCTATCTGACATCACACAAAATGTTCTTATCGCTCCATTTTGTCGGTGGACGTCTTCTCAGATGTGTTCAATCCCTTGGCCGACACTCCGTTATTATTTTTGACCGTGGGCCATCATGCTTTTTCGCAACATCTCCCGTTCAAGCTCAATTCTTGGATAATTTATTGTTTACCAGTTCAACATGTTCATAATCAGACATGCTCAATCCACCCGTTGGATGAAGGCCTCCCCAAAGCCGTTGCCATCTACATTTTCATTATCACCCAAAATGCTGGTCAAGTGCATTTTATACTATTTTAATAGTTGGGTAATTTCCTCATACATTTGGTCTACTTCTTCATCATTGTTTAACAATTCACTTTGACAAAAAAAGATTCGTATGGTTTGACAAGTGTCCACTTATTGTTGACCACAGCATCAGACACACACCATTAAGCAAGGTGCAATATAATTCCACTCATTTAATTACAAAGGCTCAAATGTTGATTCTGGCCCGAATACACATGCAAGAGGTTTCAGGGTGTGTGTTATATTAGCCTCTTTACAACGAGGACCGTAAACTGTTCTAATGCCAAGCGCCCCCATCCCTTCCAGGTGCAGCCAATTGATAATTGGATACTTTCAAAGGGCTATTTAACTGCACTGCTTGCGAGAGCCACATTGGACGCGATTATCAGCACTCTGCAACTGAATGATAGATGGTGTGTGACTGTACGTTTTCAGATGGGGTCTTTGTTGTGCATTTTAGCATTAAACACGCTCATAATGGACCCCTTCGGTGAAGCACGTTTGAAGAGGGGGGAGGGGGTTGCACGCTCCGTCCACTAATTTGCACGGAAATAAACAATCCGGTGACTGTTTGCAAAAAAGCGTAGGGCGACCGCGCATTATGGTCAAATACGGTGGCACACTCACAAAGGTTAAATTATCTGAATCCTCCGAGGTGGCTGATTGGCCCAGGGCGCTTAGCTGACAATGCTGAGATCCTATGTTCAAATCTAGGCAGCAGCCTGTGATGATTAAATTGGGCTCTCAATCGAATGTAATAAATTGATGGTGTCAGCCCGGTTACCAATGACTACACACAAAAAAGCCTGGTGTGTGTGAAATGTTTAATGATATCATGGTGTATTAACATGAGTTGAAAAAATCCTGGCTCATGAGGTGGCAGGGTGGCTCAAAGGTCAGAGATCGTGAGCTGGCACTGCTGATATAATGGATTCGAAATCAAGGTTTAGCCACCTGCGATTAAACAGGGTTTTCAAGTGATCATCTCAACTTAGGTCGACAACGAACGCTAACAAAAACATCATCACATTAAAATAGGTGCTGCACTTAATTTGGCTAAATTACAGCTGTGACCAGTAAAAATATCGGTTTCACTGTTACGCGCCAAATATAACTCTGTGGCAAGGCGAGTAAAAAAGTGATGCCCCTTAACCTGTGGATTAGACATCAGTTGAAGGGATCTGCTTCTGTGGACCGTTTTCTAATACAAGGAGTTGGTTGCACTGCTCCATAACGTTCCAAATGGATACATTGCCTCATGAAAAGACGCTGATAGCATAATCAGGATAACAATTTGGGAGATAGGCGTTTCTATATAACTATTCTATAAAAAATATTCTTGGTTCTTTCGGTCAAGTCACGTATAAGGGAAATAATAAAATAATAAAAATATTAAACAATAAAATTCTCACGACGTTTCGACTGCAACACAAACAATCATCATCAGGTGTGAAATCCACAGCAAGAAAAATATTTATTTATTATTTTATCATTTCCTTTCTACGTGACTTTACCAAAAGAACCAGGAATATTAATCCCTGCAGTCACGAAAGCTTTAAATCAAAATTTATTCTAAAAATGTCAACTTGTAACAACATGCACGATATTTATTTACTCTCAAAACAGAAATAGAACGTCTCAAAGGTGCGAGTCATGTGGTGAAATGGCACCAACCATTTCCCAAGCTCTATGGCCTTCTATATGAAGGTGTTATTGGCCAATTAATGTGTACACACGTGAAAATCAGGAGCAATCAGAGAAACCCCACGTGTACAAGGGGGAAATACGCTATGGAACAGATTGAGTCCACATTATTCTGTACCACCAGCTCTTTGATGCCCATTTCTGCCATTCACAAACCATCGCCTCCATAGTGCTGGATTACTGTTTTGTGCCACCACTGCTCAGTGATGGTGGTGCAAGCCTGTAATTATTATTTTATTATCCCCTCCGCACAAATGCCTGGTAAGAGCCGGCCATTGCGGCAGTTAAGACATTGGTATAAATCGCTGCGGGCTCAAAGCTGGTATGTGGCAACGGCTGTCATATCGATGGTGGCATCATCATTCATTGAGCACGAATGCTCTGGATGGTAAATTAATTGTGACAGTTAAATGTAAATCAAAGTTTGAAGAAAAAAACCCAGAAAATTAAAGAGCGGTTTACCTCCTTGTCCAGGTACGAATTCAGAGCCTCCGTTTCATTAAGTAAAGTCACTCGGCATTTCCCTCTGCAAGAAAAAAACATTAATATTTCAAAGATGCTTTTTCTAGAACGTTGCACCACATCTCAAGAAATGCTGTGGCATAAAATACAAACCAGACATTTCACCAAAACCAATCCGTAATACATATACACGTACAACCCTTTTGAGTACCCACTGCTCGGTGAGGGCCTCCCCATGCTTTGCTCGTCATGACCATATTTCACCACGCTGGTCAGGGCATGTTTGCGAAGGTAGGAGCATATATATGGAAGCACAGAAGTACAGAACAATGGAATTTGCTGCACTGCCCTCTGCTGCCCACCACATAACACTGCAATGCCCTATGACAACTTGTGCAGGGTGGTCATGCACAATCTAAGCCTCATCTAGATTCAAACTTGCTTAGCTTTCGAGATTGACATTTCACCAAATCACCCAGAATCTATAATGTCCAACACAACTGCAAATAGTCGGGACTCACTGCAAGTTATACACAATGCATCATACGTAAACATGTAAAATAAATAAAATATATATTTATACATCCAAACCGTGTACACATGTATTATATATGCACTCTACTGTGTAACAGCCGACTTACTGAACGCAACACTAAAACATTTATTGAACATCTGTGCCAAGATTCGGCATCTGTATAATCATCGGCATCACAGGCACAGAAAGGAGGGCACAAGTGTTTTTTTCTGTCCTGTGTAGCGCTGGGGCAAATAGAGTGAGAGACTGTGAGCTGCCCAGCCTCCCACTTGTTTTGTTTTCTTTGCAAAATGGATGCTCTGCTGTTGCACAATTGTTATTAAGAGAGCCCTAACAAAAATATTTCTATCTTGAAGAAATATAAAATATAATCCGCAGACAATTGGGGTAAATAATTTAAGTTTCCGATGCATTAATATTACAATGACAACAATGGTGCTGGGTGTTTTTATTTATCTATTTACGCTTGCGCTCACATTGGCGTTCATCACCAACATCATGTGTAAATTCACAACAAACCCATTTATACTACTGGGTGAACAGAGGGATTTCAGAAACCAGCCTCAATGTTCCAACGGTCACAAAGAGAGAAAGAATCAAACCAGCAACCTCTGAACTGGAAGACCAGTGTGCTAACCACCACACCACGGCAGCTTACTTTATTTATCAGTCAATACAATTTTAATGTAAAGTTTGTTACGAGATATTCCTATGTGTGCGGCAAAACAGCATTCGTTTTTTTTACATGTTTTGTTGATGCGTTACCGGTCATACAAATACAACTATTATAATTATTCTACTCACGATACATGGTTCATCTCTACCGTGAGGCACATCTATGGTGAATTTTGGCCGTTTAAACCACCGCTTTCTGTTGTCACCTGATGTGCGTGGCGGGCAGGGATTCAAGCTGGCGCGACAGGAAGAGCTCCCGGTGCTTCAGCTGGTGTCGTTGCTTCTCTGTCAGGTCCTGCGCCGTGGTGTCCTCCATCTCCTCCTCCAGTTCCTCTGCCGAAACAGGAAAAAGTGAGACCATTTAAGCTCGCATCACCGACTCGTCACTCTGATCATCATTTACCAGACATGATCGACCGACTGCTGGACGTAGGCCAACCCAAGCAATCGCCATTTCACGTGGTCTGGCATTGTAACAGTCCACCTAGCACCCGCATGAGTGTCATTTCACCGTTCCATATCCATGGTGGACGTACTCTTGGACACGTTCTCTCCCACGGCTGGCACTCGGTTATCATTCTTGACTTTCACGACAAAGGATGGATGATGAAGGGCCTGCAATCCCCACTCCCTCTCATCGTCTTGTATTCACCCAATAGCTATTGCTTTGTCACTGAAGAGATGACAGTGAGGCTGTGGTAGTGAGTTGTTAATCCATTAAACATTTTTTTCTCGTTCTCCAGGTCAAATCACTCCCTCTCACCAAAAACCCTCCTTTTGGAAATGGCGAAGTTTTTTGGTACGCAGATATTTTAGTGTATTGTTCATTCCTGTACTGCTCTTGCTTTGCAAGTTACAACCAAAAATGACAACCATCTTTCAATCTATTAATATTAATATGACTAACAACATCACCTAGAATGTACCCAATGTCATCAGACCTCAGAAGCTAAGCAGGCTTGAACCCCCATAACGTTTCAAAGAGTGACTGCCATGCACGCCAGGCTGTAATAGGCAGAAACATAGCTATGATACTTTTGATTTCCAGATTCAGCAACCTGCACGCACCAATGTGGTAAAGTATAGTCAACTAACCCGCACCAGGAGAGTCCTCACTCAGCAGTGAACTGACAGAAGCCTGCACATGTCCATGGACATGACAGTATGATATCGATATTATAATATATACGGCTGGGGTGACGTATGTACTTTAGCACTGGCATATACCACCAAAGTCCCACACTGACCAACATGATGAAGTATGGTCAATTAACTCCCACGAGAGGAGGCCACATCCAGCAGTGAATAGATAAAAGGCTGTACGTGTAAAAATGTACATACAGTGGTGGTGGAGTGTACACGTGAGCCCAAGGCACATACCACCCCCACTCCACCACAGCAAATGTTCGAAACCAGAACAACATTGGAGTTCCTGAAAGAGCTGCCCCTTTAAAAGGGTTCCCAGACAATGCGTCGCCCTGCCACCCATTAAAAAGTGCCTAGTGCTTAAGCAAGTACTGCAAGTGTGTTTATCGGTTTAGACTTTACAGCCAATTATTGGTCAGCAAGTCTGGGTAAAGACCACCGGAGGCATGTGGTCTGGAGTGCAATGCCACCCACTCCACAATCATTATCAATCCACCATCATCAACCATGATCAATCCACCATCAGTCCCGGAAGGCAATCGGTCAGTATCCTTTATTTTTCTAGGAGATTAAGTAAACCCGTAGAGATACATGATTCTAGATTGGAAGTTTTCGTGACTGCAATATATAATTACTCGTCACAGCCACCTCTGAGACACACTTAAGCGGTGTGCTTTCGCTAAGTTGTCCCCACCTGAAGAAGGCCGCTTGTGTTGCGCCCGAAACGTCGTGATTAAATTAATTGAAAAATTTTACCTACGTGACTTTACCGAAAAAACCCAAGAGTATAGAGATACATGAACCATTGTGTCCATTGCAACGGTGACCTAGGTCAACAAGGCCTATATACAACTATATTTAGAAAACTATAAAAAGCATTTACAAAAATGGAAAAGCTATATTGAGCTGGCAATAATAAAGTACCAAAACAGAAGGGCAGTAAGGAGTGTAGAAATGCATTTTCTAATGTTATTCACAGTGACATTCGAAGATATTCCCTGACAATGAATTGGAGAAACAAAAGGCGTAAATATATTATGGAGAAAACAGAAGCCATGTTGGATTTCTGACAATGCAGTCAATAACACATATTTTTACTTTGGAGAAAAAAACAAACGCATTATATAAATAATTATTATTTCATGTATTATTACGCTTGTTTGTCCAGGAAAGCCTCAGTGTCTCAAGTCTATTTTTCAGGAGGGGAGTAATTTGCAGGGAGTAATTTGCCGGTAATTTCTCAGCATTGGGATGTTTGACCAATACCAGTTATAGTGTTTTTAGCTATCTATGGGAAGAAAGTGGAGAACTCTGGAAACTCATGCAGAACAGGAAAAGAACATACAAATCACCACACGGAAAGGTGACCTAGTCGGGAATGGAACCCACAAACGTATTGCTGTAGGGAACTAGCGTTACCACTGCATCAACCCTGCCGCCCCAATCGTCGAGGCACACGAACACACACATAGCAGGGTGAGAATCCGGATGAAGCGCAACAGCCAACGCACAGAGATAAGCAGCTGCATCAGGCGTTGGTGCCAACACACTAGGCTGAATGCACCATATCAAAGTCCTCACAATTACCTAATTATACTTAATACTGAATTAATGTGTCTTTTTTAGGGACTCGGTCAAAAGGGACAAAAGTCAGCATCACCATACTGCACTCAACAACAACAAAAAATTGAATGTTCTTAACTGCCAAAGAAGAGGGGCCAAACTTGCTTTATAGCCCTAATAGTCAGTTGACGACGATTGTAAAATTCTCACCATAGCTACCATTGAGGTAACAGCACAGGAATAATAAAACGTGCATACTACTGCCTCAGTGATAATGCGCAAATCGGTAGAGGCACTTAACAGACATTCTGAATGTAGCGCCTGACCTAGTATTTTCAAAGAACCATTCTCCTCTTCACAGAAATGGGCCAGGTCTCTATGCAACAGGTAATGAGCACCCAACAATCGCCAGTTTTGAGATACGGTAGTAATTAGATGTGTTACAAATTCAAGATTTTCTATATTTCGCACTCTGTGGGGCAACCACTGAACTTTCCTCTATCTTAAAAAAAAAGAGTCACTTTGAATTTTCCTTGTCAATTATTGTTCATGGTGTTGTTTGCCCAGTAAATCCTCAATGAATTCCAAGACCATATCAGAAGTGACCTGCAATGGGATGGTTGGTGAAATCTACAATATATGTAATAATTATATAAATTAATTTTAATATTTCTTTAAATGCTTATTTTTAGATTTCCCTTCAAACATTCACTGATGTGAAACATATCATTTGCAAAGGTGTCCATTAATGATGCCATTACCATATTTTCCAGATTATAACATGCTCCGGAAAGTAAGATGAATACCAAACTTGTGTCCGGTGTCAATAAACGTTTACAAAACTGGCCACACACACTCACCAGGTTAGAATATACACACTCGACTTTTTCTTTAAAATAAAAGTGGAAAAACATGTCTTCTAATCAGAAAAATGCAGTAAACGTGGGAAGAAATCCAGAAAACCAGAGAAAAATCAAGTTTACAATGGAATAACACTCTAAGGTCGGGGAAACGTATTGCCTGGCCACATGATAGCATAGCGAGTTTGGGAGTTTCACAAATCTCTATGTGACCCAACAACCCTTGCAGACAAAGCATGGCCTTTGTTCACATTGGGTGAGGTCAATACATTTAACTTAGGTGGAACACAAAACTGAGATCTAGTTGCACCACTCTGAAAGCCCTGAAATTAATGCTTTTCATCAACATTAGGAGTGGATGTTGTCAGTAGCAATGTAAGCATTACCAGCATATGAAAATGACAAAATAAACCACATGCACTGGCAAGAGCCAATTATGTGCCCATATTTCAGCAAAGGGCAGAGAACTCAGTTATTACGACCAGTGCAGCTGTTATTATAAAGAAGCTTAGAGCGTAATTATGCTAAACGCTCAGGACTTTCTGTTTCGTAGTGAGAGAAATGTGCTAATTGTCTAATGCTGTGTAAACATAAAAAAACACGAAATAATGACCCCAAGTTGGGACAATTAAAACATGAATATCTCAACGAGTGTAAACAAAGCTGTGATGGTCCAAAGTCCCTTATCCTGTCATAAACGGTACATCTACAGCCCATTTGTCATTCCAGTGCTTGATGAGGGCCTCACAATGTCATGCAGGCAGTCAGGGGTTATTTCACCATGTTTCACCACGCTGGTTGTTGCGGGTTGGTGAAGGTAATGTGGGGTAAAGAACAATGGATTTTGCTACTCTGCCCTCCACTGCCCACAACACCGACTATACCTATTTTATATAACTATATCCAGGCTCAAACCTGTTTAACTTCCTAATGTCTGGTGGGTCGAATTTTGGGTGATTTGATCATAGACAATAAACAGCAAAGTGCACACAAACCCCATCTAAATGGCCAACACGAAGTAAATTTCACTGGGCTAGCCAAGCTCAAACCTGCTTAGCTTATGAGGTTTGACGGGATCTGGTGCATTACGGGCGATTTTGTCATAGGCAATAAACACCCAAGTGCACACCACTCCAACCCAAATGGACAGCACTAAGGAAATATCACTGCGTCATAGCTTGCTTTGTTGAGACATGAAAAAGAAACTCTCCTAGCCACATCTAAACGTGCCCCAGTGTGCCACCTATCCAAACAACCGGTACCCTTGCTGCTACTACTGGGCAGTGACCTTTTCTAGATCGGCATGATAAACCCTACTCAGAGAAAGAAAGGAAAACTGTCCGGCTAACGCCTACTCCTTACTATGCCTCGCAAACAAAAATGTACGTGTCCCCAAGAAAATAAATTACTGTACTGTAATAAAACACAAATTCAGTAACTAACAGTATGCCTGCCTGGGTTGGGACTATCCTTCCATAAAAAGGTGACGGTTCAATATTGTTGTTAATCTGTGCCTAACAGCAAGCGGGCCGTTGGGATGTCACATGTCATGTGAAGTGGTTAACGTGGAGCAGATATCATTAAATTTATATTCGTCACGTAAATGAGTGTAAAGGCATGAGCAGTCAACAAACATATATACATAGACACACACTATTTTATGCAATAAATTACAAAGAGACTATGGCACCTTAAGGATTCTTCAGGTTGAAAGCAATTGCCAAAGGCTCTTAAAATGAGACTATTTTACATATTTGGATATTA